ACTAATAATTTCGATAATTTCATATAGAAATGCCCAAATCAATTAATCTAGTATTTTATATACTCCGTAATGGTACATAATCCCAACATCGGCTGGGGGCTGTTTAGAATCATATACACACTTCGATTTTTTTTTTTGATAACGGTGTCTTCTAGATGTCAACCACGCCTCATCGATAAACTTACCCATAGTGCCATAATATTGCGTTAATCTGCGTTGTATAGAGCCCACTGACACACTGTACGAAGTGAATTAAGAGGTGTTGTTATATATATATATGAGCCTTTGGCGTCTATTTTTTTAGTTTCCGACGTAGAGCATGACATTATTCGAAACGGCAGCATACACATAGGATATAAGTGTTATAGTTAAACGATACAATCGTACCTCATGAGGGGGGTTATTAGACTTCTGTTTTGTTTCGACAATTTATATTTATTCCTTTGTTAAGTGTGTTATTATGTTTAATTATAGTAATCAGAAAACTCATCCTCGACTCTAATACGTGATAACATATCGATTTAAGTGGTTTTCCTTAATCGTGCGTTGCTACATATTCATAGAGCTTCGAGACAATTCACAGACTAACTTAGAGAAGCAACTTACGACAGAGATGTCGCAAACATACTACCATTCTGTCAGACATACCTGGTCCGCTTATCTTTCTGATTAGGCCCATTTGTTGCTGCTATAAAAGCAGAACAAGATTCATCAATTTTAGAAAATTTCGAGAAATTTACTAACACTCTTAAGTACAAATAAATATACGGATGACTAGTAATACATTTACATCTAGATCATCATCATCATCATCATCATCCGCTAGATTGTGTGTCATCGTACGTAAATACTGCACATATCGGTAGACATGATAGCATGTCATTATCCAGGTTTCTTATGAATACACGGTTGGGCAGCTACCAGCAGTTCTGTTGGAACGGTTCTCGCAAAGCGAAACAGCTCCAGCAGTCTTTTAACAGAATATTAGGCGATCTGTCAAACTAGGAACTGCTCATGTGAATTAATCGTAGTTCACGAAAGGGGAAAAGATTTGGAAGCAAAAAAACGGAAGATTTTGGAGGAAGCCAGTGTGGGGGGCGGCAATGCTAATCACCTACCGTGAGGGGCCTTCGGGTGTGGGAAGTGAATTAGGCCATCGACCCGAGGCGACTGGCGTGCCTTCGCTACTTGCCCACCTATGCTCATAGAGTTTCGCTTGCTTGGATATTACTTTCTCACAATAATCAGCATCGGCGAACCTGACATGAATAAAACCCAGACCCAAGAAGGTCAACGGTCAAAGTTGGTCAGAAACAATTTGCGTATACGCATACGGCTACTCTGAGAACTGAGAAACGACGCATTAGAAAATGAACTCTAATGTTAGCATGACGTTCGTAGTTGAATCACGAGAGAAATATCAAAACGCTTATCCTGTTTCATGTTGAAAGCTCTGACCGCCATGGCCGCAGCGGAATTGGAATAGAAAATTGAAGTAGACGGTGAAACAATGGTACTGGAAAACAACTAAATATGATATGTGCTAAGTACTTTCTAAATGCCACCAGTGGGCAAACAATACTCATTTGTTTTTTCATTGCAGACGAAAGGATACTGATTTGTCTACATTCGTAGAGTGATAGAATGTCTACACATGCTGTATGCTCGTAGTTCTGTACGGCACCTTCTCTATTACCGTAGCACGGTTTGCAAGAATGAAAGCAAAGCTCTCGTTTTGTGAGAACTGGTAGGTCCGTGTTACCTAGAGCAACTGAGTAGGGGCTGCTATATAACGCTGAGGATAGCAAAAAGTTTGTCAAGTGGCTTATAGAATCCTTGTAGAAGAGAGTATTTGCGAACTTATAAAGCTAAAGTACGAAGAACGATGCAGCCAGCGCGTACCATCAGTTATAAAATCAATATTAAGTCGCACGCTAAAAAGAGATGTCCTGATCATTACTGACGTGTAAACTAAGATGAATTAAGGTGGCGATTAAGATGATAGAGGATATGCTTGCCTCTTACGTAGTAAATGGGAAGCTTTCAACGATACGCCAAACGTGCCCACTTTGGAAAAATGTATTAAGGATGGAAGATTATGATGTTTGCTTTGTTATGCCAACTCGTCGTTAGTGAAGACGCATTACTTTTTAATATGTTTAAGGTTGGGATATTGTGATATGCTGGACCTACAGCATGTCTAAAGTTTGTCTTTGAAGAGGTCTGAACTTGCCGTCTTAGACCTGCCTAACGGCTCATGTAAACACAAGAAAAAAATAGCTAACATTGTTCGAATCAATAGTTATTTAGTTCAGAATGAACACAGAATGAGGTAGTCATACTTCTACCGTGGCTGACTTGAATGAATACCTTTGTGAGGATGAATGCAGGTTGCCCTTAAAAAAAGACCATCATATTAGCAATTTTTGGTATCCAGTGATATAATTAGTCCAATGAACAATCTGTAAAACGTTTTCATATATTGAGATGATGAACTCTTATACTAATTCGTCGAACGTATGCCAAAAGCGATTTTAAATCTACCATATGAATTAATGAGAAAATTTGGAGCGGCAGTCTCTACAAGTTAAAAAAAAACCATGGAAGCAGCAGTTTCTGTCGACTTAACTCGAATTAAGGATATTGCGTTTGAGTAGTATCAACTCAATGGATTTCGTTTCAACCAGACTTGTTTGTCTCACCATTCCGGCTGCATCCGTACGTTTTTAACGTTCTTCCAGCATTTTGCTCTTTAGTGTAGCATACGGTGTGATCATCTGAGTTGATCCTTCAGCCGCTCCTTTTCGAATAGAGGAGCAACAGATCCGTTAGATATCATCCGTATGACGCGTCAGGTGTGCGTGGCGGGTACTTATGGGTAGTTTCCGCCGGCTGTCGACCCTCAGTTTCTCATTGACATATCATTGACTCGTTAACGGTGCCTTGTCCTCACCAGCAGCCACGTATTACTGACAATGGCGGTGGCACATTGTACCATGGCGGCATGACCTCTGAGTGATGCGTTGAGTCGGCAATTGCTCACAATTCGTCCCAGAACTGGCTGTCCGTTTCGATTTTTCTTGGCGAGCGTCAGTTTACTTCAGGGGTGGCCCCCCTCTTTAATTCCCCTCTCGATAATATTAGGAGAATACGAACCTACTCTGTGCGGGCTTCCGAATGTCTATCCGTGTCAGATGGTTCCGTTCGGTCCATACATCTTAACAGAGTTGCTTGCTAGCAAAATGTATCATGATACGTCGTTCCTCGGATGAACAGTTGAGAAGACGTCAACAATATAATAATCGCGGTCGAGTAGCAATACTCATAAGTAATTGGATAATAGTAAAAGTTGGAATGATCGTAATCGTGAACAAGCGGGCGTTTTAAGACGACGAATGCAGGCCGATTCGGCTTGACAAAGTAAACGAAGAGAGCGTACAAATTATCCATATAATAGAAGGGAATAATAGAGTACTAATTAATTGTTTAGTTAGATTTTTTCCTGTGATAGGGCAATGGGTAACTTGTTTTGACGTTAAACTTTAGGCCGCGCAACTTTAGGTCGAGATTCGGATTCGGGCGTAAACACTCTTTGTTTTTGACTGGAAGCTAGCTATTTTAAGTAGCAGCTGATGGCGTAACTACCAGACGTAAAGCTCGAAGAACATACTAACTAGGTTTGTTTCCTACTGACCGCTGCGATGCAAAGAACCGCAGTTAAGCTTGTTAGGAAGCTTTAACCCATTCCTGCAATAGAGCTGGAATAACGTAAACTTCCAGTGTAAATATATACTAAAATCACTTTAGAATGAAATCGATTTCCAAGGTTCGTTTGCTCCATAAGGTATCTGTGCAGCCTATTTCTGGTCCTATATTTATCCGAACCCATAGATGAACGATGAAATCTTGCAATGAATTAATAATTGCGATGATACAGGGCATTTCCATGTGGTCCTGATGCAGTTCAGGGACGAATAACAAAATAACAAGGCATAAGGCGTAATTATGTTTAATTTCTAAAAACAGGATTTTCACTTAGAATGACACGAGCAAAGACGTGCAATTCGATGAGGCCGTACGCAGTCATCTATGACGAATCGACTATTTTTGTTCCACTTAGTGGCTTCGATGCACATGTAATCGTGATAGGCGTCCGATTATCCACGAACAACTGCGTAGTTTTGTCTAGGAAGGCTGTGTAACTACATTTTATACATGCATAACTATACGCACGCGATTCCATGCAGTAAATAAAGTATATTCCTGTGACGTATTTCAGTTAGTTCTGAAGGACGTAAACTTGTACATCTTTCTAGTAGACTGGCACGAAGCGACCACCACCCTCTCTCGCACCGTGTCCACGTGTATTGGTCCTATACCTAACCTTCGGTTCTTTCGTAAACAAAGCCGCGGTAATGGGATTAAACGACGATTGTTATCGTATTAATTTTATTATTATTATAATTCGAACAAAAGTGTTGAATTGAGTTGGAGCGTAGTAGGATATTTCGATTATTACCATTATTATAGAGAGTATTAGAGCGTGCTCATGATAAGTAATATTTCGGTCGAAACATATGTCTAGCCTTAATACCGTTTTGTCAGCCTACTTGCTTATTCCAAATGACGTAATATTTCCCACTTTCACACACAACCTAGCAATAGTATCATAGTGTGACTTTTATGATCTATTGTAACCTAGCTGTAGGCGTACTTTTATGTGGCAAAGAGTCGCCTCTTTACGTCGCCATTAGCGCGCGCGCTGCCTCTAAACAGGACCAACAGACGTGGTTCAAGCTTCACTCAGGCTTCGAATTCACCTGGGCCTTACTATTGTTGTGGAAGTTCATATTTGTTGAAGAAATAACCCAGCGTATCGCCTAGAGCTACTTCTATCATTACTTTCGTCCCTAGTTTAAAAAAAATAATGGCGCGAACTTTCAAAAATTCTAACGGCTAACACTAACGACGTTCTCATTGTATGCACTTTTCATTTGCAGGAAGTGAAATTGCAAGGAACTGAGAATTGAATGTATATTATTGTATGACCGCCATCAATGTCCGTCATGATTGGGAATTCACAGTTCACATCAGATCTCGTTCGGCTCAGCATGGTAAAAATAAGAATAAGATTTCACATGTTTTTATAATCAGCATGTGCGGAATAATATTAAAGCATATTTTTTTGCATAATTCATAATCGGACATCGGTTTGTGGTAATTAAATTCACTTGTGGCGTTTTGTGACGGTAAAAAAATTACACTTCTTTGTATCATTAATTATAGACTATTTATTTTTTATACAGGTGTTATTTTGCCATCCACATGCAAATATTCATGAAGAGTAGTTAGAAAATCGGTATTTGTTGTTCATAATAAAACGAGATAGTATTGTTGCTCCGCCTGGTTAAAGAGTCAAAATCTATCGTACTTATATCGATCTACGCAAAAGTGGGAGAGTTGGAAACAATAGGTTGTCCTAAATTAGCTGTCAAAGCAGCGATCAGAAAAATCTAAACTATACGTTTTTCTGCTACGATTGTCGTAGATGAGGCAGTTTTGTCCTATTGAGATTACAACATATTACCGGTGAAGTGTACGGTTATTGTTGTAATTTTTCCTATGAATACCGTTATTTTCGTCGAGCTTTTTTTCAACTGGACAGGGTCAGTGAAGAACAAATTTTGTAAAAAAAATACCACGGAGCAAAAAGTTGCGAGTTTTCATGTTTACAGCCGAAAGATCATTACCTCATCAGCTACCATGACGGCTTCAGTAGTTTTTCAACTTCAAATAGTCACAAAGCTTGTATTTCATATGATTTCCACGATACTGATTTTCTATTCTGATCTCAAATATGTTCGAGGTGACTCCAGTGCGCAGGCCCTAAAAGGTTTCACAGAGTCGTAATCGCATCGCCCCTTAAAATGAATCGCTCATTAAAGTCGTATTCGGAGTAAGTCCGCCAAAGGACTCTGGACATGGACCATCATAAACCACATTACACATACACATAAAATGCTTACCCTTGAGAACTCCGAAGATACTATGTAGCCGGTATTTGAGTTCGAGTTCAGCTGACGAAGACCATGCACCATTTACGTCATGATCCTCCGTGTAAGCCTAAAGTATGTATGGCCAGTTGGGATCAGATAAGGTTCTCAACTAATGTATACAGGTATTCACAGTAGACTGCTGTATGTGGTCCTACGTGTCATCACCCAATAAGTCTATTTCCTCTAAAGTATACTCTGATGTGGTTGACTAAGGTGTCCAGATTCAGAAAAATTTTGATGGTTGTTTGTCGTAGCATTCATCCGCTATTTTCGATACCAGAAGAAGACGAGTTTTCTATAATAGAACAGCTTATTCATCATGGCGAAAAACAGTACGCCGTTTTCAAAACTTAAGCGAAGGCCAGCTCCTACCTAATCTTTTCGCGTCGGATGAACCTCCACTCTGATTAATAAGTTTTCTGACAAAAATACATTTTTGCTAGTGACCAATTTCTCTTATGACATGTATATGACACGAAATGTATATATGATCATTGTTAAGAATTGCAGACGTTTACTGTCACCGGTGTCATCGTGACACCCACAAAGTCTGGAAAAACACTCATCGTAGAGAAATCGCTCGTAAAGATCTATTCTGTGATTACAGAGTTGGATCATTTTTATTCGCTTTAAAATTCACCGCATGCTTACGACTTACATCCAATCCTTAATACAATGGTACGCGCACATTGTGCCGATTTCAAATAATCCAACAATAGTTGAAGGCAATAATTTCACCCGTAATAAACGCTGACATAGGCCGTTGTTATGGTTGAAACATCAGTCGATCACTGGATAGGTCTGAATTACTGTAAATATGACTCGTATAAGATGGCGGATACTGTTTCCATTTTTTATCCAACTCAAGTACGCTCATGGCTAGAAGTCATACTCGTGTTTTGTATTTTAACAATATTCTCTTTTTGTCAAGGAACCGAATTATGTCGTGTAGTTCAGAATTATTCAATAGCGATGTCATTTGCTTGCTATGCCCATAATCGTACCTGAAGCCCAATGTTGTTTCCAACGCCGATGTCAGTACGTTGCCGCTCTGTGAGCTCAGGAAACTTCCTCTAAATATTTAATATTGATCGATTCGCCTTGTCGAACTGCGAAGCTTTTGGAGTAATACGGGCTACCGTAGCATCGCCAGGAGCGCGGTGCTGAGCTTTGTTGCCGGCTTGCTGATGATCATTTCGAGCTTCGTCTCGCCGGGCGGAACGTTCGGACCGACTGAGACGGCTTTGGCAAGAAGACGACAATACTGACGAGTTCTTTTCCTCATAAACGAATCTTCATCGCTTTCGTCAAAGGCGAATTCCGTTACTACTATTTTTAGCTTCATCGGCTTAACAGAAATTCGAAGGTCCGAAGACCAAAGGCACAATACCCGTACCGTTTAATCACTGATTCGTTCTTGTACCTAGTCTTTCGTTGACTGATCGTCTCTCGACCTGGGCTATCGTCGTTCGGTAGAAGACTACGGGACCTATAATTAGGGTCATGCCGCCTCCGTTCTGTCAGTGTTCAAAGCGGAAAATTAAAGCTGTGTGCATAACGTGATGATTACACACAACCAGGATTTCAAGTCGATAATTTATTTACAAAGCTGGTTTGCCACTCCGTAACAGCACAGCCATATTTTGTACGCTGTGTGTGTTATTTCGTTGTGCGCTGTTATTGAGAAAACGTCCTTAGCCGTGTATTGGTGAGCAAATCGCTTTAAGCCTTGTACATTGGAGTTATTTTTTTGAAATTCATAACTTTAGTGACGTGAACTATGAATCAAGCATATGGATAGATGCATTCTAAATTAACACAGCCATACGAAAGGAGACCAATAAATACGGAAACTTACATTGGGCCCAATCGTGAAGCACGGTAAGATTTTTTGAAATGTCGGTGCCCGTTTGCCATTAGACACAGCGGATTGACAATAGCAAAGTGAGGTTAGCAAAAATCGTCAACCTCTAGGCCCGTACATTGGAGTCCAGTCTGTTCCTTCGATAGGTTAAACGAGGCGTATGGTTTCCCGGGAGACAGCGCGGCGATTGCATTCGTTTAAATTATGCTTGCATTATTTGTGTGGCTAAAACACGGGCAATTCCGACCGGATTCAGAAATACTTCAGGATTGTCACACACATAAACATTTTGCCGAACACCGAATTTGCCATCTGTGTTCATTTTTCGTGTTCTTTTTCTGCATCCACAACAAATACATTGTAGATCAAGCATCTGTCGCACATTATCAGTAGGCCAATCATTCCTGTTGTGAGAGCTTACTTGCTCTTCATCTCACGCTTAACAGACGTAATATTATTAGCAATAGACAAAACTTGATATTCCGCTTCAAAGCAGTGAGTGACTTTGGGGAGGCTTTGTATCAATACTTGTCACAAGTTGATGTTGACCTGTCATGTCAATAGCAATATCGAACAACCTATCTATGTTATGAAATTTGCCCGTCAACTCGGTAACTCATTGCGGGATTGTTTCACCTTTGCTAGCGGATGGAATCGTAGAATGTTTTCAGCTCGGCCCATATTGAGATGCAACTCTCAACTGTAATCACGACAATGCTCGATAAAGAAATGCTTCGTATTTTCGAAATTATTACCGTCGCACCGTTGTCGTACAGCGACATTTGATCAATTCTTCGAATTAGTCCTAACACGGCAGTGCTTCGAATTTAGTTTTTCAAAAAGCACCTGAACGATTAAAGTAGGATAATGCTCGGCCCTCGAAAACACCCTACAGTATTGCACCGCACTACAAAATAGAGATTTTAACGTTAGTTCAGTAAGTTCTTATTTAGATTATAGTTTTGTCTCAGTGGAGTGCGGACTTTGTGTCATCTTCACTTTGCGTAATAATAAACTGGCTATCCATACCTATTAAACTGCTATTAAGTAGGCTGTCATGATAACATACTACGCTCGCTTTATTCACCCTTCATAGGAATCACGGCTATTGTAAGATGTATTTTTCGTCACCACTATTTCCTATTTCTATCTCGTTATGAACGATACCGTTACTTGAGAGTTTTCGATGCTGTATTGAATCCAGCTTTTCTGGAAAGTCGACAAGCTGAACATGTTTATAACTGTGAGTGAGTACCACGCCGGAAGCAATTGGGAGTGTTTATGACGTTTAGCGTTGCCCGCAGTAACAAACTAGATAGCAACGATGAAGAGGCCTATTAGCGTGAATCGCCAAAAAAGAACGCTTCGACCAGTATAGCCAGAAGCGACTTCTCTTTCGTGACTACTTTTGGGAATCAAAAGTCTACCCATGCTGCTACATAACTGTGCTTTTATAGTGTGGCTTGTAATGACGCTATTTTATAGCGTCATGTTCTAAACGTTAAGTTGATGTTGAAGGACCTTGTCGTAATCGTTCTTGTGATGTCGAAATTGGGAATTTCAGATTACTCTGTCACCAACAGTTACATAAAAAAAGTTATTGATGCACGAAACGGCAAACATAACGTGTACGTATTATTTTTCAATTATAGTTGGCAAAATCAGTTCTTCTGATTAACCGGTGATTACTGCTAGCCTGGATGCAATTGTCTGTCACAGGTAACATAATATACATTTCCAGAGATGTTTTATTTCTGGTGCTTTTCGCGGGAAGACCTAAAAGAAATAGTTACGTTAGATATCCCACGAATTATGATATCAATGTATCATTTTCTTTTCGGTCTCTTTTATATCTATTATGTATTGGTACTCATCTGCAGATTGAGGCTACTTCATTTGTTTCATTCTGATGGCGAGCCGGCGGCACTTTTTCACGTCAACATATCTTGCGTGGTGTGGTATTGGTCGTGCATACAATCCATCAAAGCGAGGCTACAAGCATACACGGGTAAATTAATACTCCATTAGTAAGCTGGTAGTAGAGTAGTCGCGACAAAGGAGGCGATAGTCTTCTCAAAAGAGTGCCGTATTAAATCCCCCTCGTGCTTTTTGATCACGCATATTTTCGTTTAGTAAGTTGTCACTGACATATTACCGAAATTTTCGATTATGTGCAACGATTCAGTTCAGTAAATTAACAGGCGAAGAAATTTGTTGTCGGGCGGCGATCACTACAGCACAGTGTAGCCCATCGAAGCCGCCGAGCATGAAAAGGCTATCGGCTGCACTTCGTTGATGGCTTTCTAAATGGCCAGACATTTTTCGTCATTCATTAAAACCGCTTGCCTCCAGAAACTAGTTTAAGACTCAAGCGAACTATGCATTTAGCGTTTGTACTGCTGACAAGGGACACACGAGCCAGGAAACTGCTACTTACCAAGTATCAGTTCGGCGAGTTCCATAAAGGGAAGAGAAACGAAGACATGAAGGAGGAAACCGGAGAGGAGCGAGGCTCACCCCTACACCATCTCAGATACGGTGAAATTCCTCGGGGTTCCTTTTTCTTAAAAATTCTATCGAAAAATTTACATATCACGCAACCTTTTTCTTTGGCGTCGGGCATTTTTGGAATCCATTCATCTGTGTCGGGAAAGTCCCTCTGCGCACCTCAATCTCGTCTTTCTCCTCTTCGAAGCCGGCGTCCTCCCTAGAGGCTTGCACAACCGTATCTACGAGCCTTGCCTACAAGTGTCACTCGCAGACTTAGCCATTCGAAGCTGCTAGTGACCGAATCCATGGCTAGTAAGCATCTAAGTTAGACCAAATGTCAGCTGGCCTTTCTTTTTTATATGTCACATATTTACACCTGTCCCTGGCTTGCAGTGTAGTCCACGTAAATGGTCTAAATTTGATAACAAACATTTGAAAATATACGCGTACAACGTTGCGAAGACAGAACCTAGAAAAAAATCATTTTATTACACCCAAAATATCATTAATCGCAAAACAGCTTGGAAACATGTCTGTATTGCATCGAGGTCGCACTCAGGTTGAGACTGAGCTATCGGGTCCAATTGTACGTAGTTGACGTTGCTCACATTAATAGGATAGATTTTTTTCTTTGACATCGCAAAAACAGCTTCCATTAAACTCAAATAAATTTAATATTTCTCATTTATTAGTTGAAGGCGAATTGTATTAGGCTAGTGAACAATGTACGGGATGACGTTTCTGTCATCGATTAAAGAGAATCGATTTATTTGTCGGTTCGCTTTAATGATACACATACAGTTAAGGGTTGAGTGGTATTGCATAGTATAGAATACATACAAATTGGTAAATTAAGAACTGGGAGTTACTTAAGGAAGTACGTATAGATTTTCATTACCAATCAGTAGAAAATTACGTCTTAATGTGCTCTGCAATAAACGAAGGTAGACGTACGTTTGGGTTTAATAATACTGCTTGTGCTGCGTTTCCAAATAAATGCGGACGTTTTTCAATTAGCAAGGGTCAATAAAGGAGGAGATGCTGGAAAGAAAACTAAAAAATCTGTCTTTAAAATTGTTTCTTCTTTAAACTCGAGGAAATGGCAATTATGCTATTTTTAGATAATGTAACAAAATTCAAAAATAAAGTGCTCGCTTTTCGCCATTTGGCGATCTATAACACGAGACTGGGAGTCATTGAAGTTTCATTACACGCATTGTATTGGGCTAAACGCAGAGTGGAGTAGATAGTAATCCGAAGATAAGATTCGGATCTTCCTAGCTAACGTCGGTATCTGCGACTTAATAAACCACTCAAGTAGTTCTAGCTTCATCTCTATGCTAGCCATATATACTTGCTGATCGAAAAAAAATACTTAGTAAAATAGAGTTCAGATAGTCGATTTCACTCATAAGGCACTGCTTAGCTCATTGCATGAGAACAGGTTGATCTCCATATGGGCGATACTCTACTTCAAGTAAAGTAAGTACTTCAAGTGAGATAGTATTTAAATTAGACGTAAGCCATTAGTGGTTGGTCATTCTGCCCTTATGAATCTCGTCGTTCTAGTTATCACACAGAAACCCACTGGGAACGAGAATTTACCTACGGTAGAAGTATCCGCTAGTTAAGGTATTAAGGGCAAATCATCTATCGGATTTGTGAGCATCTAATAAATCGATCCTTTCATTGTTTCCATGGTTCCCGATAACAAAAACGACAGGTAGATTTTCAGCAATCATTTGAGCTATTCCATGGCACATTCATTTGTCTCTTTCTAAATGCGTGACCAAGATAGGAACGCCAAATTGGTAAGGTCTGCGTTTCTCGATATACCAAACCCTGTACAGCCTATGTGATTCTATGAAAACGAATTTTCGACTTACTAAGGTTAAACCTATTGATTATACGCTTGTGTGTAATAATACTACTAGGATCGAAATATGTGGTAGCCTTTACGAGAAATATACTAGAGGGTTCCATGTATCTGATGTCGCCCTGAACATGAATCAGTTTAGACATAACCGGTAATATACACGAACCGAGGTTATCGGTCAGGTATCGTTGTGTGTGTCTAATAATGACGCAATTTTAGTATTAGAGATTGTAATTGTTCAAGTGGCATAGTAATTTAGTATTTTATTACTGAGAATAAATAACACTGTTGGTCATGAGGATGCTACGGTCAACCCGGCATCAAACGTTTTGCTAAAAACAAAGCACACAGGTTCTGTTGCACGAAGGTATCCCTTTTCGTACATCTTTTTGTGTCTATTAATTGTGCACACGTCCATCTTTGTAGTTCTCACCTGAGCTTTCGTAGACACAAATCTACCAGGACCGTGCTGTATTTTTTCTGGCAGTCTACACATCGCTACAATTGTACCTGCTGTAGTCCGCTGTCATGTTATTTACCTATCACGTGCAGGTTATTCCTTAAAACCATCTATTATTAAAAGCTGCTGTGCTGGTACTAGCTGGTATTACAACCAGGCGATGGTACTAGAAATCCTGCTTCTTTTTTGAGTTTTACAACCCGATCAAGGTGCAACCACATGATCCTTCTAGTAGCCGTTTTCTGCTGAACCATCTGAGTGGTACCCAGGAACACTGTACCTCCATGATAACTCCATAAATACCCTAAAAATGTTCCGCAAAACAAATAATCGAGTGCCCACAATGCTTCGCGTATAATAGACATGCGCGCATTTCTCATCCTGAAACACATATGTATTAATGACAAAATATCATTAAACAAGTCATACCAAATATATCTAATATCTAAATAAAATAAGTTAACAGCAGAATAGTTATCTGCCGCATATATATGTTGATGTACCGCAGTAGAAAATCGGCGGAACTAGGTCAGACGAGACATGCTTTGAATGAAGTGTGCAATACTTTCGGTACAGCCATAAAGCTCTTGGAGGAATGCTTCAAGGAGGAATCATCAAGGAATGCTTATATTCAACAAAATGTTGATTCTCAAAAATATCGAACTTGTTTGAAATCTGAATAGATGATCCAACGAGTGATTAATGATCCTTTCAGGCAAGTTTCTGAACGAGTCGTATAATTTCATCCCGTTTTAGTTAGCGATACATCTCCATACATAAGTTCCATGTTTCATCTGTAACTTTCTGCCTTCGATTATCTCTATTTCTTATCGTTTTATGCTTGGCCATGAGTTAGCCAGATCAAGAAAGGACAGGTCTAGGCCCCATAATCCTAATTACGTTCATCACGGTCCTACCAACAATTACATTGATACTGTGCCTTCGTCGCACAATTTATACTATCAAAGTACGTCCTACAGACAAGTCGTTGAGCTAATCTGTGGTCTTTTTTGTGTCACGCTCAAATTTAATTGACTTTTGGTTTGTACTGACTCTGTGTTGTTGTTCTATCACAGGATGGTGATTCCGACTCTGGACGGGACGACAATATGGTGTCTTCTTTGGTGACGCGGCCGGGTTTATTGCAGTACGACGACCCGGCAGATGCCGTTACCTATGAGAATGGCGACAATAACGACGACGACGACGACGACGACGACGACGAAGACGACGACGACGAAGACGACGACGACGAAGACGACGACGACGAAGATGATGATGACGATGACGACGACGAAGATGATTACGGTTAGTAATGAGGAGAGTGATCCTATATTTAATTGCAGGGTTCATATGTAGAGGAAAACAATGGCTTGAGAGCGCAAGACAAAGGCGAAGTACTGAGCTTGACAGCTTGCAGACAGTTGGCAAGACAACAGCAAGTATTAGCTGGGCATATGAAGTCATGCGAACCTTAGTAAACTAGATGGGTTGTGATCAAGTTCAGCAACATTTCACTACATAAAATTGTCAAGTTAATTTGCTTATGGATAAAATCATTTTAGCTTGGCAAATGGTTAGATACTGTTTCATTAGAAAATCATTGAACATCAAAATACAGCCCGTAAAAGCTAAACCGCCGGTAAGGTGTGAATTTTATTTAAGAATACTAGGACTGAGTATCATGATTAATTATTGTGCCAACAGTGCCAGCAAACCGTGATCAAGGAATTAGCCTTTCTTTCACTAGAAAGTTACTTTACCAGAAAGTAGGAATCCAAGCGCGTGAAAGATAACTAAGATGTAGGTTTATAATATCAGTCCGCATAATTTCCAATAGATCTGTTGGATTTAATAACTTTCCAATGAACTAACAACTGCAGATAAGTTCCTGTCTAAATTTAAACAGAGACTGCGATTGATAGGAGCCTAATGTTAGAACGGTACTTGATAATAAGTCGGCATCGAAGCTTTATATAACTGATATAATTGCGGAGCGGCTCATAGAGAATCGAAAAGAAGCTCTTCACGAATAATTAAACATTAGTTGGGTTCGACATAATACTTTTCCTTATTCAAAGCTAGCATGAGTAAAACGATGATTTCAACCGTAGCATTTTTCAAGCACATCACGGATTTATCCATATGTTACTTAAATGATAAGCGATGCCATATTCGAAGTCATGAAACCCGAATAACGGCTTTACTATTCATCGCCGCTCATTATCATTGTGCTATGCCGTCAGAAATCCACTAAATTTTATTTAACAATTTCCACTTATATTTAAATTTCCACTTACCAATTTTATTGGAAGTACATTTCCCGCTTACGGGGTGCGCATTTCTCTGAATGAATGGAGAATATTTTTTTTTTTGTATCCAATACGTTTCTTCTAAATATCCAACCCTTCATTTGTTTTATTCATATGAAATGTGTTACAAATGCCGTAAAAACCGGGCGGCTTTGATCATTACAACTTATTAATGGCGGAAATTTGGAATGTCCATTCCAAAAAGTGTTACAACTTTGTCACGCAGGGTGACAAGAGGACATGCTTCATTCGATGCTATATAATAAGTACCTTTATAATAAAAAGACATTGTTGAAGAGATTTCTGTAACGGTGTCAATGGAGAAAGTTTATTCGTATAAAAAATAAGCCAGCGTGTAGACTCGGGTTTCGGCTCGCATAGCTCTGTCATATACCTATGTGAATTGTGGGTAATAGCAGTAGTAGTGGCTATGAAGGCGCTCTGTATACCATTCTGCTTCGCGTAACTTAAACTTTAGGTAATCTGTAAAAAGCTAGTTAGTTTATTATGCATCTCCGCTGTGCAATTAATTCTTATCTTATACGAAATGATGAATGACACAGGAACTTATCTGTACTTTAAGGCGATTATCATCTGTTTGAGTTCAAATTTTCGTTTAGGCAAAGGGTTTCTTGTTGCTATTCCGTAATTTTTTCATCATTTACATCAGAAAAAAAAAAGCTGAGATAGGGATACTATTGGCCGTTGGTTAAAGCAAGTATTGAATTCATGTCTCCACGAACGCGTATGCTTACCACCCTGAGAGACATAAAGGCGGTCCAGGTTCGAATCTCGATGGAGGTACGTTTTGATTCGTCGGTGAAAATCTAAGTAATAGAAAAAGTGATAACAGTAGCAATCTTCCAACTGACCCAATTTCTCCAGACTGTTTGCCTTAAGCTTTCTTAAGAGGCTTAAGAGATAAAACGGCTATAACAACGCCTTTCGAAGAAGGGACCACTGAAATTCAGCGATGGAAGAAGTTCAGCATCAGTTAAGCCATATTCCCTTTGTTCATTAGGTCCTTATACGTCGACGCAGTTTTCCTAAGCACATACCAAGTGCTGAACTTAGACTCGTTCGAACTTCATAAGGTGAAGTAGAAGGTTCCCGTTGGAGACAAATGGCGCTACCGTCGTATTGCTGATTGTGTTTAACTGAAATTTTCGAGGATGATTGCTTTAATTATTCGGTCCGTTTTCGTACTAGAAAAAGTGATTCCATAAAAAAAATGTTAGAGAAATTAAACGTGGAGTAAGTATTACTATTATCTCGTTTTGCTGTAATCGATTCAAACAATAAGTTTTGCCACGTACAGCTACGAGGAGCGTACGACGACGTATTGTAGGTACTCCTTAAGATTACGGTGTAATTGACCAAAAGCTGCTGCACGGCTAAGGGCAAGCCAGATGACCGTTGTCATTCGCTTGTACATGCTAAGAAAAATCGAAAACGAAAGAAAGTAAACCCCCATAGACTAAGCAAGTGCAAAAAAAATGCATTTTCTTGCTTGTACGTTAAAAAAAAAAAGTCATTTTTATACAAGATCGTTACCGGCGCTGGAAAACTGATTTTTTTAACATAGTCCTCAGCCCAAACCAGAATAGATTTCTCCAGTTCGATGCCACGAAGAAATATCCTTAGTTAAAAGCTGCACCTCTGCACATGGTGTGATAAGTGTTACACTATGAGTTACTCCAGTTCCAGGAAAGCGCTACGGGGAAATTGTTACGCAAAGCAACTCATGCGTCTGACCTAGAAGGTGGCAAGAAAATTCTGATTTGGCAAGGGCACCGCCAAATGATATTGCCGCATGTTGCTTCGCTAACCCAGTTAACTCCAACGAACCTCTAATAGGAGGCTCTGCCTCAGCGGGCGTACAGCCCAAGCATTCCTTTATCTACTACTAAGCAAATGGGTAAAAGCCTTAAGAAGCGAAGGTCCACACACTGATGAAAATGTGTTCACTTCTGTGAAAGTTACAATACGATTAAGATGGCTAGAACGAGGTTTCTTTTACACAACCTAATGGGTCATTGGCGAAACATGGCTGGTACATTGGCGGCGCTGCTTACCGACGAAACAATATCAACACGGCATGAACGGTCCCTTTCTAAAAACAAATTTATCTGGGTTTGCCTTCATAGGCGATTATACCGCTGAGCAGATTGCTCTGGTCTCTTACGGGATCATATGTGTTCTCGTCTGAACTAAGAGGCGATAATGACCAATGATCGGATACAAATCTATATTTGTTTTTTAAATCTTGAGGGATCACATTCCGCGCCCATATTGGCTCGAACGAGTGTACCTTGCATTTTTGATTCTTAGAACTATATAGAATAATAACATATATTTTGGTAAAAACAATAACTAACAAACTTTATTATTGCGTCCTTTTGATGTGTTTTTTTTGTTTCGGCAATTTTGTACACAACAGTGGACTTTGCTCAGAAGACTTTCTGTGGTATGCTTACTTTTCTGTTGTTGTTGTTGTTGAAATAACTGTGTAACAGTAAATCAAGCTCAGCCAGACTCAGCATTGTCTTCTCCTTCCATATCGATTCCGCTTCATCACAGCGTAAGCGTATACCTCTAACGAAAAGACAAACCTATTGTTTTTGCTCCGCTCTACAGCGAGGACAAATTCTACCTGTTGGCGAGTGTCCAGTAACTCACAGTAGCTGGTACAATTCATGTGTGTTGCCTGTATCCCGCTATCTTATTATCTTAACTTATTTTTTTCATGTTTGCTTTCCGTTTGGACGGCTGAAAAACCGGCTTTGTCCACTACCATTACCACGATCACGTTATTTCTGTCTATCTGTAACACAGCCTAAATGCCGACAAGGCAGGTATAACCAACTCAACAAAGCAACGCTCACATTGCACAGTCAAGTTCATATACAGTACTCGCATTGATACGTTTTATGCTCATCTTTTCCGCCCCTTATACCCTATAGTCCCCGTATTCAGTAACAATGTACCGGCACACTGGAAAATACCGGAAGGCGAAGATGATGTGCACCCACGCGCACGATTCCTAAAGAGCACAAACTATTTTACACGCTCAGAAAGAGTAACTTCCCTTCGATCTCGTTCTGTCTGATTTCTATACCTATAACCCAGTATTGTCTGAGCTAATTGAAGGCTTAAATGCTATCGTAGAGCCCCAAGTTAGGCTTAGGGAGTTCGCGCCGCTACTCTGATATAGTGCTTGGTCCACTGGGGCAATCTGCGAGGGTACCGCCCGCTATAACACTTAAAGTCGCTGATTTTGCGGCAGCCGCGGCACGTTCATCAGCACGTTCCCTGGCAGCGGCAAGCATCGACTGGGCTTGAAGTTTGGCCACGCGATTCTGTTCATCTTTCTTTTTTGATAAAATTTTTTGTAGCAGAGGATATTTACTTAAATCGATGACCAGAACAGTGATGTTGTCTTGCGAGCCCTTTTCAAAGGCTCGTTTTGCTAGCTCCTTTCCGGCACCCGCCAATGATGATCTGGAATAACACAAGATGGCGTAGAACCACACACGCAAATCGATGCATAAATTTTAGCCAGTTCGGTAGGGTTATTTGTTTGGTTGAACTGGAACTGGGAAGTTAGGGAGGTGAAAATGTTGGTAAGTTATTTCAGTGGTAACTTTGAAACAGGATACGCTTTTCATATTAATTTGAATACAAGCATGTTACTATATAGCAGAATGTTTCTTAGACAAGCCGATATGATGCTGTGCGCTTACCGTTGCCGCACAAAAGCGACCGCTTCCTCATTGCTAAAGATATCCCAAAGACCATCTGATGCGAGAACAATAAAAGATCCCTGCTGTTGTGTTAAATTGAACGTCAAAATGTCTGGCTCAGCTGTAACGAGGTTGCGGTCCTTTAATGGATGGTCACCTGCGTCGTAACCAGAACTCCCAATTTAAATAGGCCGTTATACGTACGTATTTCGGTAAGATGAGTGTTCTACAATATAATGCAAATATTAAAACGTTTGGTAAAGTCATATTTTGCAGCAACCTATTAGCCAATTGTTTACCAACCAATAGCTCGTGAGGTAGCAAGGATTCCTGCGACGCGCCAAACGCCGTTGAAGGAGATGAATCCACCAGCGTCTTGAATACGTTTGTGTTCCTGAAGATAACAAAAAATCAATGATATTGTGTATGATTTCCGAATGCAGACAGTTATGATCAAAATCATTACCGCTATTAATACAGGATTAGTTACCAAAGAAAAATTTTCCGATTTGTGTTCTAATCGATCAAACAGTTTATACTGAACAAATTTACGACTGGTTATAGTTTTAAAAAGTACGGATACAATTCAGAAACAGCTATAAAGCGATAAATTAAAAAAAAAGTTAATCAGTGAATTAGCTGATCAGAATGTCTTCGGTGCCAATTTCTCATTGTAGTCATTTTTGACCTTAACCGCAAAACTAGTGGAACGTGTTACTGGCGAATAAATTGAATACGGCGCAGTACTTGATTTACTAACTATATGATAATTCCTGAAATAAATACTCAAGTCCGCGATCGATGCTAGTTCAAGATGGCGTCAGTGAGCGAGTATATTGCAACAGCTCAAAGATCCATACAAAAAATGTATGACATATAATTTGTGCCGTATCGGCACGCTACGATGACTTAAAAATATCGGCACAACCAGTCTGCAGGGGTTAAATCAAACATTTGTAGTAACTGAACTTCAGTTCACCGAAATTTCAGCAATCAGACGATACCGGATGAAGCCAGCGGAATGAGTGTCCATACCTGAAATATTTCTATTCGACTCTTAAGATCAGGTCACGTTCGCTTTAATCCCAACAATAGCTGGACTATTATGAAGACACTCATCAAGTTAATGGTAACGAGTTTGAGAACAGAGATCGTTAAATGCAATGCTATTATAAGAATGTTTCGTGCTCATACTAATAATTTGTATAGAATATATTGGCGGTGGATATGACTCGTTATTTAAAAACAAAGCGTGCGCACGTATTATGTTTACCGAGTGTCCTGTCGTCACGAGGTTGCGTGTGTACGTTCACAGTCGGAAAGCACAATACATCGCTTTCGCTTCCACTATAGTAGGTACATCGAACCCGCGTCATCTACGTCTGCTGCTCGAACGGCAGCTATAAAGCGGCGGACTTCATGTTAAACGAAGCAAACTTCGCTGAACTCTGTTTTACTTTGCCAGAAGATCAATATATAGTATTAAGAGCTGTAGATCAGAAAAAAAATAAAATGCCTGTAGGCAAACCTATCCTTCCGGTCTGGTACAGTTATGAGGATCTTCATGTATGATCACGACGAAGAGAACGCTACGATGCTCTAGTAGTGTAACGCCAATAACCCAATTAGACGAAGCTACATTAATTATCACTGGACGCTAGCTCACCAAAAATGTGTATATCTATGCTAACAATTTATGTGGGAGCTTATTCCACCGGCGCGAATTTCGGTAGAATAAACTTCGTGTTTGTGTGCACGTATCGACACCGAAGTCTACCTTTATACAGTATTGGCTTTACGATTCTGCCTCGTATAGTATCAATTAAGAATTTAGTCTATAATAGGTAAGACAAAACTTAGCGCAATTCCTTAACATTATTATTATAATGGCTTTACAGGGCAGTTGCTGGCATTACGGGCTGAGAGATCGATAGTTTGATTGAGGCTTCAGTAAACAAAGGGGTATAGAGAGCGACGCACATAAAACAAAATATTCCATATCGTCAAGCGATACTCAGTCGTTAGTGATCTTCCTAAAGGCCAAGATGCCTATTATTGCAAGTCCTTTCTGGTACACAGTATATTACCTACAATATGCCACCTATTAAACAACAAAGGAATACGTTACGAACATTAGGTGTCAAGGTTGGCCAATAGAACTATACAGAGGTTGTCTCTGTCTATATACAGGCTGCTTTTAGCCATTGTTTTTGATTATGGTAATCCATAGCAGACTGTTGCCGCAACTCGATCAGAATCTAGCCACAGCCATCGAGATGCCACTCAGACGACACCGAAAGGGACGCCGGCTCTCATAGACACTGTAGCAATGGTGGCCAGCAGATCCGGTCCTTTCAGCGAGCCTTCCAGGCAAAGTCAACGAGAAGATATGTAGGCTCACTCGTTTACAGCAAGGTCGTGAGGGTAACAGCCGTTACACGCATCAGTCAACATGTTTATGCCTGTCTAATAGACTCCTGGGAGATGTGGAATATATATTCGCCAGGACAGACCAAAGGCGACCTACCAAGCCCACCACTTAGCCGTAGGTGTCTAATATTTTAGAGGGGGGTTAACTGCAACCCATATCATAAACTACTACAGATGTATCAAAAAAAATATATGGATCACTTATCTTACCCAGTCAACTGACACAAATCGCTGTAACTGACATGCGATTTCGTCCGTCAATGTCGTCTATTCGATAGGTCAGATGTCAGCTCCATACAACGCCTCTTGGACGATTGTCAGCTAGAGATTGGTAGTAACCTTGGCGGGCACATCTATAGAATGTTCCATTTTGCATAGTTTTACCATAGGTATTTGGCATCAGTAGACGCTTAAATGGGACATTTCCATGATACAACTATGAGTTAAGCAAACCCAGATATATATATAAGGTGTCCTGTATTTACGCGTTTATGTCTGTATTGTAACAAATCGTTGGCATTGTTGGCATATTTGCACTGGAATCATCAACTACTCGTGGCTTCGATAATAATGATAATCACAAGAAAAATTAGTTCTTGAACTGAAGGAAATTGCTACATACAATGAAGGGTACGAAAACAATGCTAAATGCCTGCAGGGTATCTATTGCACTGTTCTGGAATGCAAAGTGTATACAAGGCTGATTAAAGCCAAGTTAATTGAACAAATACAGGAGGTAAATTAAGCACAAGTTACTTTGGACCAAACAGCTCTGATCTAAAGCGCAAATTCAATTCAACTTTTCAATACCTTAGTCTGTTGCGGCTTGTGATCGAAGGAAAGCGGTACAGCTCGCCCTTTATCTGTAGCCATCACGCCTCTTGAGTCACCAACGTTAGCTACAATTAACGTGTCCCCAAGGATGACGGCAACAAGGCACGTCGTGCCGGAATAGTCACGCTTTTTCTTCGACTCCTTAATAAACGCTTCATCTACTCGAAGTATTTCTTGTCGCAAGATATCTTGCATTGATGCAATGTCTATCTCGTCCGTTGACTGGCGGATCCGCTCGAGAATCGCAGGAAAAAGCTGTTTTTCTGTGTAATCGGCCGCGGCCTGTAATGAATCACTTGTAGTTAGTCAATAGCAGGTTCGCCGACGAGTAAACAAGTAAGAAGAAATTTATGTATGGGTCAGTTCTTACGCGAATGTTCATTTCAACACTTCTTCTCAATAGGACTATGAAAGCTTACATAACCGTACTTCCACTACGTTCGAGCACGAAACATGTATATAGCGTAGTACGAATTTCTGGATTTACCTACCGGTTTAGCTATCGTACCATAGAAAACTGTGCTAATCGACTCGGATACGTTATGCAGGGTTTGTATGTGATCACTTCAATATATGCTGCGCCTTATCAATCAGTTTTTGGCATAACAGAAGCTAGCAATTCCCACCGATTAAGCCAAAGCGTTAGTAGAATAGAAATTAGGTCAATCAGCGAAAACTATACACCTCCGTACATAATAGGCTTACCTTTTCCAAGAGGACAGCGTAGCATAACCAGAAAAGATCGAGAGCACTAAATATTTGTTTAGCTCAGCTTTATTCTGCGACGTTTCTATAATTTTTTTTTTATGAATTTCCGGTTCTGCCCTCAACTAGATAATAGATTTCATAAACATTACAAAAACCTCTTAAACATTGTTCTATAAATGCGAAAAAAAATAACCAATAACAGTATCGAATACAAAGGTGATTTCACATACCCTTCCACCATGTCCATCGAATACTCCATAGAGGTAGAGGTCCCTCTTTGGTTCGGCAAGCATGCAAAACCTGTCCTCCATATGTGCACGGTGTCCTTGCATGGCAAAGGCTTCTGTCATGGAGTCGTTCTTGCCCCACTCAGCTGTTTCACTTTTCTGTACGCAGTTGGCATCATTTGACTGCTTTGGGCAGTCTAGAAAAAAAAAGCAATCAACCCATTACTACAGTCGATAAGTCAAACGCTATACACTATAGAGAAAACTAGAGGTGCTTGGAGATTCTAAATAACACTTTCCAAGAACTGTTGTGTTCCAGTTACAAATTGTTTAAAATCAAAAGTAATTGCGTGTACTTTAATTTCCGTCAGGTTAAAATATGAGATTACATATGATCAAAAAAAAAGATATATTGATTTTTCATATTGACGGACATTCGTTGTTACTTTTGTGATTTTAAACATCTATGTAACGTAAGAGGTCATGATGCAGATTCGTCATCAATGTTTAATTGCTATCTGACAAGACCAGATTCTCTATAATGATGATGTATCGGCTTTAGAACTCGCCTTTATTGTCGGCGTCCGCATGAGCTCTTCTATAATGGTTGAGCAGTTTAGCGATAAGCTCCCTAGCCTTATAATTCACGGCCGGAAGTCGAGCGACCTCATCTAATGGCGACCACACGGATGCTGGCGGCAAAGAAGCGTACGGAGCACCGCAGCAGACATGTTGAACGTTACACGACCCAAGCGTGTTAACGCACGCGGTACTCGTTGGCAAAATGGCCGTAAAAACTAGATTTAGCGATAGAAAAGACGATGTGGCTACGATACCCACAATGGTTCGACATCCTCGATTAGCCCCCACCCCGAACCCTTTCCACGTTGTTTCAATCTTGAATATTGCACTTGTCGTATGGAAGCTCAGTATCAGATACTGTTGAAATTCAACTCAGTGTTGACTCACTGAGCTCATCGATATTTATCGACGATGTAATCTGTATAATGACAATATATTCAGCGCTTTTCTGTGGTTCCACACTTTTTAGGTTGTATGTAAATGAGAGCTGCATGAGCAACGAGACTTAATTTCACCGAAAATCGCCTCTATATCAACTATCGACCTCGTTATATCAAAATGGATTTTAGAATGTAATTGATCGGGTTTTGGGCTTTGGCAGGTGACGAAAAGACCTAAAATTACAATTTTTCAAATATTCGCGCCTTTCTTCCACTCGCACAACAACAACAAGTATTACTGAGATGTGCTACACAGATTCACAACCTTTCTTTCTGTACGTGGAAGTAAAGCTTTCCCGAACTTGGTTGCTAAGAGCCTGTGCTACTGGAAAAGTTACCCAGCAGAATCCGACCGTATACTGACGCCGCCACCATGCCTTTCACTTCGATTGATTTAAGATTTGTTGTAACACGACGTTATGACACATCACTGTAAGAGTACCGATGCCCGCACGTATTCGACGTATTATCGCATTATCAGTGCTCTACAAGTGGTGTTGTTTATTACTTCTGGACTCGGCTAATGACAGCTGACGTCAAGTACTTTTTCTCACGTCGTACCACTGACAACTTCAGCACACAATAGCAGAGCCTAGGTACTGTGGGCCAAAAACTACTGCCTTGAGCTCTTCTATTCACGTAGCGCTTTCTAGCCCTCACGTTGAAATTTCGCTTCTCCTGTTTGCTTCGACAACACTGAGCAGGAGACGCCTGGCGTCGGCAAGATACGATCGAGTACGACACACTATATATTGCACGACCGTCCCTCAAATAGTCGTCTGCGCGGCGACTCTTCCTGTCTGCCCATTCTACCCTCTCCCTCTTTTATTTGCTGGCAGCGCTCCGTTCGCCACCGGTCGCGTGCAGAGGCCCGCATAAAGTTTATTGCTCTATCAGCCAATTCAACAACAACAACAACCCATCGCACTCACGTGGATCTTCTTCCTGGTCACGAGCTTCAAAGCAATTTAGTTTTACCTAAAAGGTATGCTCGATATTACATCCAGATGACGGACCTAGTTCTGAAGACACTCCGATTTGTTCTGGCAAATTTGTATGCCATAGGGTGCTGCAAGTACCTGCAAGTACGGATGACGAATGTTCACTGCGCGTTGGCAGCGTAGGCAGTGGTTGTTGGCAACGAACCCGCTTAAATAGAAAACGTAAAGCTGGCGTAAGCATTTCGGGAGGTTTTAAGTGTCATATGGGGGTTCCAAGGAGTTTGTTCGGAAAAGGCTAACTTTGGCGGAAAAATGGCAAAAGTCTAATTATAAGAGGGTTAGAAAGGCAAACGGAGCTCAAGTTGAGTAACCTCCCATGTATCTATCTGTTTAATCTTAATAAAATCTAACGGTAAACATGGCTATGGGCCTATAGCGTTGGAGAATGGCTGTTACAGCATATTCCTACTGTACCGTTTCACGGATCTGTTCGAGAAAAACCCAGACAAGTCCAGTAAGCCTGAGTAGCCAATAGTCGAAGGAAAAATTATGCCACATAATACTTCAACGTCGGAACTGAAACTCATACAATGTAATCCTGTCCTCTACAGATTTTCACAGAGGACTAAATGCCACAGATATGCCCTGGTCCCTTTCCTAAGTAACTCCCGCAATAAGGCCTCACGGTTTTTATAGGGGACAGAGAGGTAAAGATATATACCAGCATTAAATAAGTTTGCTTTTCAGAAGGAGGGATCTTTCTGCGGTAATTATCTCTGACCAAAACGTGTGATTAATTGCTATAGCTTGTAAGAAACAGCGATATCGAGCACTCAAGTAAAAGACCTGTCTTACTACCATCTGATGATCGGTGCTAACCATCCGATGTGCTCCTGAGACTTTGGCGAGCTTTGGGACCTGCATCGAGAGCCAGGGGCTAATAACACTGGAAGCGCAACGTTGATGTGTTCGGGAAAAAACAAGTTGGACTTGGGCTTAAACGACGCGCTGCGTACTCGATATACGATACGCTTTGACTGTTGTAAGACTAATTATTTTTCACTTTATTAAAACCTGTTCACGAAGCAACGGGCGTGAAGAAAGTCAGTTGTAGGCGTAAGACGCGTAAACCTTGTTTTTTCTGCAACGTCAATTATGCATCTGGGTATGCTTTGCGTAGGGATATATCCATACGAAAGAGAGAAAAGTCGAACGAGTTCAGCCTAAGTCGAAAGCTTATAAACTTGGTCATATAACAAATCGAATGACATCGCAAATAAAAATGCCCATTTGGTACAAATGATTGTTTGGGGTAGCCATCTCGAATAGCAAAACCATGTTAAAGATGGGTACACGAAGAGCCATTCTGGCCACGACACAATTGACAAATTCGTCTTTTAGATCGTTGCAATGGATTCGTTCGCAACTCTGTCAGCTGACCGCAGACGCGGCAAACAGGCGAAGGCTGAACAAGGCCGAAGCGATTTTTTGCTATGTCGAATCAACGGGTGTCGAGAATCCAAAGATTAATATTGACCGTTGGCAGTTGCTGTTCCGCACAACAGCCTCTTTATTTTATTCTACACTAATAGTTAGAGGCCAGTCGAAATTTGTTGATCGATGACAGTTACATTGACCTCATCCAACAAGTTATAACACTGACCACACGTAGTCAATGAAGGATCCGCTACTGTTAAACTCTTAAGTTGATTCTAATATAGCCACGAAGAAATACCTACGTGTGGTCGTGAAATTGATTTATAGCTGTTAGATCAGGTCCCGTAGAGATTATGCCATTGTTACTTATGGAATGAACCTTCTTTCACGGCATCCAGAATCCCATATGAGTCATGTGTGTTCGTCGTCCACTCTTTCAACTAGTGAAAATTGCATTTTTTTGCCTACGCATTATGTGCATGAGTACAGACTCTCATTTGGGAGAACTAGGGCGATATGAAAAGGCGCCATGTGACTAGCCAGACATATTGCGAAATTCATTATTTTGTTAATTAACTAGTGTTGGCTTTTGTTGAACAACATTCTTACAAAGAGCATTTACTTATACGTCTGTATGCGTATAGGTACAATATAAGGAGCGTTACGATGCAAATGATTTTTATCGAGTCTTCATAGATTCATTGCAATTCTACAACAAAGTCTAACTATATAGTGATTAAAGGCGAGCCCACTTCGGTCCGCCGCACGGACTTAGAAGTCATCGACCGAGAAATGGGCGGTATATATGTTATAATTTAATTTACTAAGAAATTCGCGTCTTGTTTTTTAGAACTTGTTTTTTTTTCGGAAACCACCAGATAGAAATTGTTTTCGTTGATGGACCTGCCTAGATAGACCACCACTGAACGTAGGCGCAGTGTGCCCTGAATGTCCGAGCTATTATTTCACCGGAACATGTAAACACACAGGAGAAGCTAACATATCTCTGAAGCCAAAGCTAACGAGAAGAAGTTAGCATGTACGCTCAGCGTTGCTTTCAGCGAATCCGTCGCTTTTACTGAATAACAACAGACATATTTAATGGTGCATTTGTTTTGAATAATTGCGCGGCGTTCGTGTGGTCTGGAGTAAAGATTTCTGTCGGCGTGTTGCAACGGTGGCACTTTTCGAGAATGGTGAACGGGACACGTATTTACGAAATAGTCAGACTTCATGGTTCTCACACTTAGACGTGTATCTACGAAGATCCACTATGTCGAGTATGTTACAGCAGGCAATAGAACTAGACAGAATTATCGTATCTATCAACATGAAGTGGTGAAAAAATATCTGTCCATAGAAGCAGAAAAATCACGTTATCATGTAATAATGACGTTGTTCAAAATCGTGCGAAGTATTTCAATAAAGCAAATCTCCGTGCATATCCGTACAACGACGTCCCGTCCAATGGACTACGAATGGTTATTGAGTCCAAGCAGGAAAACGATCTCCTTTCAATAAGGGGTAATCTTCAATGATTACCCCTACGCTATTCCCTACTTTGCTTTACCTTCAAAAAATTCACCTTCCTTCAAATCTTAAACCAAAATATGTCTATTCTTTATCGTACGCGATACACCGTTCTAAGTTACAGCAGTAGTTTCGGATCCTCGTTGTGGACGTCAACAAAAACTTGAATCTGGCAACTCGTCAACTGTTGGATACGAATTTCCAAATACCTAGTGTTAGCGTTCTGATATCAACACTTGATCAAAGGTAACTTGCCCTTTCTTTGCCCGTGTAAAATGTTTCGACTTGGACAAAAGAATTATTTGTCTGAACGAATTTTTTTTTGCTTTTAGGAAGTGCGTCCCTGGACATTGTACTTAATACATCTCAGGCAGTAAAAAGCTGTGGATTCATAGTTCATCAAAGTCGACGGATTCTGTTTAGTGGATTGCTGTATGACAATCGTACAGTTGAATTTACGATAATACGAAAGCTTCGGGTTGTAAAGCAGTTTTATGTAGATATATATGTTTCTATTAGATCTTAATTGGGCAAGCTGTTTGTCAGAATTAAACAGCCTTGCCAGAGCAGTAACGCAAGAAGCTAGCATTCCCACATGGGGCCGTCCCAATCCATTGAATTCGTCGGACCTTGAACTGATTGAGCTATAATGATGATTTTTTAATCTGTGTTACACTTACCCCAGCGCTCTGTCAGCTCCTAGATAGTCACACGCTTGCCCACCAATTGTTGGGTTTAGATCAGGAGAATAATCGGGTGAAGCCAGGAAATAACTGAGGCATGATGATAAGGTCTGGCGTTGTCACTAAAGAACCAGATTGCGTACTTCCTATTGCCATGCCAACGGTTTTTCAGCCTCTCAATGAACTCGAGATAGTGAGCTACATTTACTGTACCAAATATCACCAAGTACATTTTAAGTACTAGCATCACCCTAACTTGACGCTCCTTCGAACTCGATCAAAAGCTCCAGCGCAGCGTCATTGTATCGTCTGCTCGTTCTTCAGTTAGTGCTAAAGACTGAACCACGCCTTGTCTATGTCGATCGTACATTTAAGGTGTTGTTGATTAAAGTTTCGCAAATTGCACGTGAAAGACGACACAAACATCTGCACATAGCCTGGAGTTAAATTCTCAAATTTTCTACTCAGAGTATTTTGGCTAGAATTCCGTACACGCTACATGTAAAATGCCAGTTTCGGTCGATAGAACCCTTCATTCGTCCTTGTCCTTCGAATCCAGGTATTTGGTACTTCCTCATTTTAAAACATTTACACCATTCACGTATTGTATTTTGCTTAAAGCCTCCTTGTCTAATTTTTTTCACTAATCTTGGGTGAATTTTCCCTGCGCTCTGGCATTCGAGGAACAAAAATTTGATTACTGGGTGTTGATTTTTGAGACCAAATTATGCGCTTCTTCTGATTTTCGCTCGCTTCGAACTACTTTCCAGCCAAATGTCGTTTGCTGCCGGAGAGAATTTGTTTCTAATACTCTAACAAACATAACTGAGTCATTATCGAGTATCTTAGCATATCTCCGTTTGGTGTTAGGTAAAGGGCTACGACGTACCCGGTATGGGCACGTTCAATTTATGTGTACTAATTTGTTAATTGAGGTTTTTTGCAGCAACGTGAAGTTCCATAGCAACACTCCAACAAAGCCAATCGGCTGGGTAGACAGCGACCTTAACTAAGTAAAGGTTTTTTGGTGATTTTTTTTTTATTTTTATCCAGTCACCGAAATATTAGTTTGCCTTGTCAAAAACGAAATTTACTGCGTCGACTACGTCGTGGGATGAGCTCCGAAACCAGGACTTTATTTCTTAACTATCGTATTGCCAAAAGAAACGCGTTTTCTTTCAATGACTGAAGCTTAACCCTCATATTAACCACTAATAGCGTCTCCCATGCAGTTTGCCGCGCTTGGTCGCCTAGACTTTAAATGTGTTTCAGGATCTTTACAGCCGAGTCGTAATAGTCTATACAGGTAATAGCAGAAGACGTACATTCGTCAAGGACAAATCGCGAAGGTCAAGGGTAAATTATTCAAAAATATTGACTAGATTAATTAAGCAGTCATGACGCTAATTTTCTTTTACCTGTTTTTGTAACTCTGCTACTTTTGACGTAAATCTCTCAATTATTGCAATTAACCATCCATAAACGCAATTTTAATAGAATATATTGACAAAGATTTAGAACTTCTAGTCATGGGCCTTTTCAATATTAATAATACATGTTGAAATTTGGGCAAAAATAATTTTGTTTTAAAAAAAACTTGGACATTGAACATGAATTGACTTGACCAGATCGACCAAGTGGTATATATTATACATAAAAATAATTGTTTGCGTTACTTCACAGAAAAAAAATCAGGCATTTCGTTTAAAGCACTCCGTCACCGAAGATATTGAAACGAATTAATTTAGAAATAGTTTAGGACAAAGCAAAAATCATAGTGTAATTATTATTAGAAATGAAGACTAATCATGTACGCTAGGCACAATCTGTTGAGACGTTCTTGGGCTTACAAGCTATTAAGCACAGCTTGTCTTAAACATTTTAAGAAACGACTCAATTATGCAGATTTCAAATTGACTAAACGATTGCTAAGTCGCCCTGTATCTACCTTCCGCATGCGTTTTCATTTTAGGCAAAATAAATAAGTTGTTTTTTTAAACCTTTCTAAATTAGGCGAAGGAATACTGCTGTATCTGGGCTTATTTGGTATTTTGTACTCGCGTACTTGAAAGACAAAAGATAACACACAGGCCGTAGATAACTGTGTTTATCACTACTAACAAAACTATCGTTTTAAACGAAACGGTTTACTGAACTTCTTTCCTGCCATTTTGTAGGTTTGTATCTCTACGAATCTAATATGCTTATCCTCATAGTCAACCTACGTACATATGCGTATGATAGGTAGTGTCACATACATTTACATTGAGACTTCGTCTCACCTTTTCTTACCGTTTTTGATGATACTGAGGTAAAACTTTTGTCGGATGCTCCTAATAGCTCGTGGCAGCAGCGAGAACGCTTCCCGAATGTGTGAATGACATTCTGGGTGCCGTATAACAAATAAACATGTTGCAATCACAGCCAACAGCACGCCCACTTCCACAACGGCTGTTCGATCCAATAGGGCGCACAAACACACAAATGACTCCAACGGTATTGGGCACAGTCGCGATAAATATGTGAGAAGTTCAACGTGAGCCCATAGAAACTGCAGAACCACTTCTCCCTCCGCTGAATCATCCATAATCACGAGACGAACGGGAAGTGGGTAATATAGTTAAAACATAGGACAGCAAACGTTGGAATTAATTTGATTGAAGTTTACAGAGGCCACAGCCTATGATAGCAGAAATTCCCATACATGCTAAAACATCTGATTCATTCCCAATTTACTAGCAGATTTCGATTAAGGTCCTCATTTAGACTGTTGGAAATTATCGTCTGTGATAGATATAGGGTTGAAAGATACAGGCGTAGTAGAATTTGGACGACCGTATTTTGTTTTACGTGTCAGCGAGGTCATCGCTGCGAGCCGAACTGGCAAATATGCATGTGTGGGATTTTTGAAAGAGACTGGATATATGGCTTTTCGGTGCAGTTATAGAAAGGCCAGATAGAAATTAACTGGCAGGAGCAGCGTATGTATATACGAAAAAGTCTGCGGTAGCGGAGGTTCGCCATACGTTTGGGACATCTGCAAAGGAATATTAAGACAAAAAAAGTGAATCACACCATACACATAGCGAATTACAAATGAGGAAAAATATTTCATATTGCTTATATCTTAAAAAGAAGGGTCCTTTTTTGTCGTAGCCGTGAGGTCGGTAATACGTAAGAGCAGATGTATCTTTGCACCGCGGTATACGTATATGTGGTTAGCCCTAAAAACATATATTCTATGCATGAAGCGTGTTAAGTTAAAGACTGAATTCGGTGCGTCTCCTGAAATGTCTAACGTAAAGCTGGTAAGACTACTGTGGTACCGTGTTACATAATTATTACAATAATACCATCATTTCAAGATTCTGTGTACTGTAGATACAGATCGTTTCTATAGCAACCCCACACACGCGTCATGTACGTCACTCTTATTTACATTTGCTACACCTGAAGAAACAATCGACTATGTTGCTAGTTACTGCGACGGCCCGTGCCAGACGGCGAGGTCTGCTGATTATTGGCTTAAATCAAAAAAACGAAAAGAATATGCTATTTCTTCCGTCATTATCGTCAGGTGAAGGGACAGCTGAATACCCATACGAGCATAACGAACGAAACAAGCATAGAATTTATGTATAATCGTTTTAGAGAGAGTGTATTCAGACGCTGTCGCACCATAAAGGCCTTTTGAGAGTGAAGTAAAGAAAGGGGCAAGAGAAAGACTGACGGAATTAAACGATCTGCTCAGATCTACTCTGGGAGTGACCAGTATAGAAATTCTCAAAATAGCTCGTTTACGCAAGAACAACACACAGCAAAAGTAGTCTACGGGGACAGAGGACTGCACCTAGCTGATACCTTTTCGAGTCTCGCAAGGTACGTTACGCCGATTGGCAAGGAAAGATAAAAACGGGGCCCAGCCAAACAAATCTACATGTACATACACAGAGTTAGCCCTGTGTGCGCACACAGATCACAGAGACGATGGTCGTGCATTGCTGTCTACTGACGATTTATGAGGACGTGTCTAAAAAAGTGACGCAAAACGCACTGTCATACAACTGTAATAATTCGAGGTAGTGACAGCTAACTAAGTAGCTACGAACCATAGAACTAAGTAGGAACAGAAATATATATCAGTCTAAGCGTTTCGTGTTTGAGAGGAACTTCTAGTTACCATGTGGTGGATTCGTAGTAAGTGGCCGCAGCAAGGTTTAAGTGCCGTTTTTTCATTACGTCTAAGTAGAAAAAGAACAAATACGTGCATCGTTGGGGCTTACTAACGTGAGACTCCATCTACAAAGAGGATGATGCGTCAATTTCTAGCCAAAATTTGTGGAAAGCGAAACGATAATTGTTTGTAGGGCAGTCAGTAGCTATGTTGTTAGTGTAACGTAAAGATACACCGCATAAAATATTGTTTACTTACATATGAGTTTTCGCTTATAAAGCGAAATACGCTGAGCACTGAGCGCGCTAGATCTCACCGGAGGTTTGGCCTTCAGGGTAGATTTAGAAATGAAAAAAGTGCGATTCCTTTAAAGTATTGTTTTTGCATCAATAAAAAAGCAATACAGTAAGGCTTACGTTTATCGCGCAAACTTCTCAAATATTAAATTGTTGAATAATAGAAAAGAAATATGCACGTACGTTATGATTTAGCTGAAAGGAATTTGAGAAGATGTGTGTCTAAAGGCAATTTCAAGGGTTATCAATCCAATAACACAACTATAAACATGAAAATAACAGGGCTTCCCGTTCATTCGAAGAAGGTTGTCAGCTAGATTGACCCTTCTGCCTGTCAGCTCCAAACTAGCTACACTGGAACTCTTAACATCAATAGATTGTATACGACCAAATAACACGAATTATGGTAGAACTATCAAGAATGTACTACCATACGTAACCTTGGCTATAAGACTTTTTCGCGTAAGGGAAATATTTTGGAGAGCCTTTCGGGATTGCATTGGCAAAACACTCGCCTTGGACGCTACCGCGAAGTAAAATGTAATTCTTCTCTTCGCATGGATTTGCTTTAAGGACAAACTGTCTTATAATCCTTTCTTTAGTACAGAACGGTCTGTACCAAGGACCGTCAGTTAGCAAAAAATCTAAATTTATAGAAATTTGTGTTTCAAGTTCCTTGAACAGTAGCTCTTAAACTTTCAGGAAACGATTTACAGCCAGTATAGTTTGTTACACCAGAACAGTTGTGTAAACATACAGAATGACTGTATAGTAACTGCAGATTAATAAATATGTCTATGTACACAGAAATTATTCAGCTTGAAGTATTAAAATAAAATGAGTAGGAACAGCAGTTTTAAAACCGGACAAAAGAACTTCTTTAAGTTGGAAAAGCTTCTGTCGGGTGTGATTATGCCTAACCAGAAAGCATAACCTAGTTATACAGGAGGCCCCTACAGGTTGCGTCCCACATCGAGTACATAAGTTTGAAAATAAATGCAAAATATAATTATGAATAATGGCAACCGTAAGCCATAACCACGTAAAGCCACTGGCCGTGTCAAAGTTTCCCAAATTTAAATTTATATATATATATATACTTTATGTTGAACCTGCGTTGCAATTATTATTCATAATTTTCTATATATACTTTACTTATTTTACTTATACACATAAAAGGGAATAAGATCTGTTTGATTGAAGTATTGGTACTCCTCTGACTGAATTAATATTGTTAGTTTACGACAGAGTTTCCTTCAAGCATGCATTCAATTAAGAGGTTTTGACTAACGGAGACTACAGTGCTACATATAGCGGCCAAAATACAGCAGGCCAGTTAAGGCTTCAAGCTAAAAACACAGTAATTTTATCCCCGAAAACAACGCAAGCCTTGCTTGAGAAACTGTATGTATACTACAATTACAGACACACTTTCAGTCGGGCCTATGGTCGATACTGTTTGTAACCATAAGGTAAGCAAACATTGATTTGCTTGTGGCTTTTTATCCACCTTAAAGGCAATCCTCTGTAAACTATGTAATTTATGATGACCCTGCAAGCATGCAAATGTCTTGGTTCACATGTATCCTTGCTGACTGCAGCCAAAGGGTTTGCCAAAGGAAAAGCTGTTTCTAAAAAATTCTAACTACAATAATGCACACACGAAGAAGCATGCTTTCCGCTTACCCTGTATATTTTTCAAATGAAGAAAAAAATCAGTGAAACTGCCTAAAGTATGCTATATATAAACCGGTATATCGAACGAAGTTACTATTCCCACAGAATGCATCCTTTTCTGTAACAAGTATATCTTTCAATAACTATTAGCTATTAATCGAAATTACTATTTGGAGTATCAACTGTACCTTATTTCTTGCTGTGAAAACAAATAAAAACCACTAAAATCTTGTGGAATCGCTTGTTACCACAACAGTCGCTTATCGCTGAGGGCAAAGAGCTTCTGGATAATTGGGTAGACCATTTTTTGTTCATTTGCAATTCGTTATTTGTTGGCGTTTGCTCCTTTTGAGACTTCTGGCTAGCCGCCGAATAAGCCCTAGGTACCCTCAGTGACAGTGATCGCGTTGTCGTCAAGACCTGACACGGTTGCGTGATCACTGCTTGTTTTGCCTTTTAGACAAGCAAATTGTTGATTTAGAACATGTATGGACTCATGCATAAGCGGACTCAGTAGGGCAGCTTATAGCCGAGTGAATAACGCTAAAAACATTTTTCTATTTTTGCGGCGCAACGTTTTCATGCTGCTGGTAAGTTTCACGGGTGGACCTGCTGTCTCTCTCTCTTTCTGTATATCGCAACATAGTAAGTTCCGCCTATCGAGAAATAACTTTATGGTTGGATAGTAGGCGCATCTGTCTTGTTGTTTACTGTCAGCGAATACGTGTCAGAGCTCTGTGAAAGTATGTTCGACACTGCCGTTATGCACTGCTCCAAACCTAGGTCGATGCTATTGTACTTCATCAAATAATCATGAAAAATCATCTTTGACACCCTAATAATAATAATAACAATGCAATCAGAAGGCAGTCATGGCGAAAAAAACATGCATGTGTAACAACACCAGAAGACTGTTTACCGTTACTTCCTTATTACTATTACTGTTATTATTATGAAAATAGGTCTTATTTGTTATGGAATTCTTTATCCTTGGACAAATCTAGACGGTTCTTCATATAGTTTCCGGACATTCGAAAACTTCCAATGCAATCGAAAGCAATGTTAGAACCAGGTGCAAATTTGTGCAATTTCAAATAGACAGTTTTATAAAGTTTTTTGCCAAAAAACTATATCAACACAAAAACGCTGTCAGTATCAGACAATGACCAACCAGACTTTAATTTAGAATAAGCCGATAAAGCTTGTTAAGCTGTTTTTCTGCAGCTTACTTTGTTGTAGAGGAAACTGCTGTACTATAAGGATGCAATCCTCTAGCAAAAGAACCTATTCTGCACTCATCTGGTAGTCGGTGACATTTAGAAACTCCCGCAGAACCTAGTTCACTGCCACTACACCGCTCCATCCGTGCAAAGTTCCAATACAGGAAAACATAAACGAGCGTATTCGCGATCTCTTATAATTCCCTAAACGACTTAATATTATTGCTGTGCCAGTTTTTTCACAAATTAACATGTCCGGTCAATACTATACACCTGCGTGATGCCACAGGGGTGCTGTACGTGTGACGCTGCCGGCAGCGTAAACCTCTACTGTTTGTCATCTGCCAACGAAAAGTGTAAAGCCAACCCCTTCGGCTATCAAGGTCTCCTTAGTTCTGCACCCATGAGCGTATATAGCAGACCACATATCTACACATCAACTAGATTGTATCTATCTATATAGATTCTAGGCTGAATTAATGCTCCTAACTAGCCCGAACGCCATTACTAATAGCTGTTGTAGTAATGGTAACTGTTCACTAACACTATGTAACAACACGTTTTTATGGGCCAGCAACATGGGTACAAACAGAGTAGGACCGACCTTTAAACACATAAGTAGAGCAGGCTCTCCAGCTGCGGGGCGCTGACTGCTGCTCTCTAAGAACCTCGATACAGCCGCTTCAGTGCCCAGCGAGTGAAGGCCCGTTTTAGACAGACGTCCTGGTCCCTCGCCAGAAGGCTCTACCGTCGCGTTTCTATGGCGATGGGGCGAGGGCTTTTCGGAAATGCTTGTTTGTAGTCGTAGCTACACGGGTATCAGCTGCCACGGGCATGGTAGCCGTGCAGCCACGTTTAGTGTAAGCAAAGCTTTTCGGCGGGAAGAGCCGGAAGAGTAACACTTGTCGTATAGATTCGTATCATATCTGCAAATACTTCTAGTGAAGTGATTGTAAAGCACTAGAGGAGGAACATACCCCGTCTAGAGAAGTTTCGCACTTCTCTATGCACTGCTGTTATAAGTCAATTACATACCAAAGTATCTACTTTGAGTGCGCTATGTGCTTGCAAAAGCACATGTCAGCTTTACTTCGCCAGCTAATATATTTCACCACGGCATCAAGCTGATACCGGCGTGACCTGCGAGAACGGAGCATTAAAAGACTTATTACGATAAACACTTAGTTTCTTTTAAAAAATTTCATTGGAAACGACGTGATCGATTTAAATTTCATACCGAGCTATGGAACGGACGAAAAATTGCCCTAAGTACCTACACCTCAAAAAACCTTGAATCGTTTTACTATCTCCCGTTAAAATTTTAGCAGTGCAGTATAATTAGCACTTTAACTAAGTGCTAATTATTACCACTAACTGTGGTACCAAACAGCTGTTATCTACATACGTCATTTGTTCATTGGAGACACGTCTCATTATATCGAATGGCCACCGTCGTCGTATTACTATATTCGCTGTCCGTAGAATAGTTTGTCTTCGTTACAAAGGTAAACGCTCTCTGTAATGAGTTCACTGGGAGCAAGGCCAACTGACGAAAGGGTCGCTAGTCGCTAAAAGAATATTTCTCTAGGCGAATTAAGCATAGACTATTGTCGGTATTAATAATACACCTTCAGGAATCTAAACATAAGCGTTCGGATAAATACCAACTCGCAATCGTGCTCAGGGCTCGCGGCAGCGACAGCGGCACCCGGTAGAGTAATAGCAGGAGTGGCAGCAAACAGCCCGATACGGTGTAGTTTGGCAATGCTGTATGGTTTACTTGTGTGTACGACGCCGTGGCGCGACTTCGTCAGACTTGGCCTGTGCGTCCGCGTCTAAGCGTTCACTGCTATTGGTTCGTTGGGTATTCGCTTCCATTGGGCAGAGATCGTTCCCTCCTTGCGAAGATGAAAGATCTCTACCCATCTGAGGAATACTATACTTCTATTTAATGCTTTGTCGTCCACTTGCGCTAGTAGCGGGACGGCAGCGATCCTCCGAGCGGCCATGCCCGCTGGACAGGTCTGATGCTACCATCTACGTTCTAGAGCGCCGGTACTAGCGCTGTTCTTTGACTATTGTTATTCCTTTCTCAGGGCGTGCCGCAAGCTTTTGTCTTAAGCGTCATCGATAAACATGGCGCTCGGAGACAAGTCAAGCTGGTTCCCCCTTCTCATTATATACACAAGAAATAAGTCAGGTTCGGAAATAATGCTGTTAGATTATTAAGAAGAAGATTGTTGTCGCGATTCAGGTTTATGGTGATGGTCGCCTGTAATATTAAATATTGATCTTTATTATTTCTGAACTTGTGCGGTTTGAGTAAGCGCCCTAAGGACAATCGCTAAATTTGGATAGCATATGAGCATCGAAATGACGTCATGCATTATAGCGATGGGATTGCCGGAAGAGTAGTATGTTTACACAAGCTCACTTCAAAATATTTATTGTTGAACCATCTATTTAGTGGCCGTATACAGTGTGGATATCGTTGCTCTCGACCATCGACAAGCTTCTCCTTTCTCTGGGCCATCAAAGGATTGTAGTCCCTTGTTTCCTTTCACTTTAAAGAATTCCTCGGAAAAGGCATAGCTCACTCCACCCCGCCCGGTTGGGCTTTAATCCTTTTGCAAAGAGTCTTCCGCGAAGTGTGGATTCGCAAAGTGTATTGTTAAGCCTCGTCGGCCAGGTATTGGGTTTCAAATGTAGGTACGGGTGTATTTAATTAAATAAATATCTCCGTCTTAGGACAGAGTTATTCAAGCTTTCAGCACCAAACCCCAGCAAAGATATATAGCCCGTGATTCGATGGGACCATTTGGACGTTGGTGTTAGAATCTCATGTCTTGGGCGCAGTTCGTTGTTACAGAAAGGTAGGACTGTGATTAAATTAAACTATAGCGTTAATAGAGACTATAGTGTACTAGTGCTAGTGATTAAACTTGAACGATGAAAATTTCCTGTCTTAATTCTCTTTCCGTTGCAGAGTTCCAAAATCATTACGTCTATGATATTAGCTCTCGTCTGAGAGAAGTTAACACGGTGCATTTCGCGGAGCCCCTGCCAAATGCTAAAGAAAGCCGAGTGCGATTCGCAGATAATCCGGTTGATCGAGTGCTTCGCTATTCCCCTACGCCTACCCTTGATGTTAACGAGCGGCGACAGGTTCAGAGAGAGTACCTTATGAAGCTGTTCCCCAAAGATGACTCAGAAATCGGTGGTATGGGCAACAAAGCGTCTTAGTTCGTTTTTGACTTTAGAAACAGCTTATCTTGTCCCTGTTTATAGTCAAAAATAGAATCGACTTCTCGATGTACCTTAATTGTTTTATCGATATCTTGTGAGACGTAATAAGCAATCTAAAACAACTACTTCATTCAATAGCTTGTGCAGGATGGCGGGCTTCTTCTTCCAATACGAATAAAGTTTAATAAAGTATGAAACGCTTTGAATTTACACCGCAGACAACCAGTCAGACGAGTCTGATCTATTCAGTTCATCGGATGATGACGACTTTGTTGACTATGCCAACAAGACGCCGTCCCCCATTGTTGAGATGCCTAGAACCCCAAGTCCTTCAAAAAAAAACGACGGCTTAGAAAGTGATGAAAAGGAAGGGTACAGTTCTGATTACGAAACGAAAGAAGAAAATAGCACCGACAAGGGCGAGTACAACACATCCATGGACACCGCGACTAGAAGGTCACAGGAAACACCTACATGTGCCGCCCGTAAGTATTTTGTTGTAGACCTGTTGATGTATTATATTCACAAGTGTAGTGTATCAATAGCCTGTTTGGGAAGATTTTGGAATTCGGTTGCTTATTTTGACCTAATTGTCCTTAAATGTAAAATTTAGAAAACCGTATAGGTACATGCTAAAACGCTAGAAGACGTGAACCTTCATATGGCAATTCCTGTTTTTTTTTCTTTATTATTTTTACACATTACGGTCAACAGTAGAACACAACAGAAATATTGATCTCGAGCTTGCTAAAAAAATCATTAACCTACGAGAGCGGTCCGCAAGAGGTCCGGAGTATCAGAGAACTAGCGATGCGCCTAAAAATCTAGGAAGTCAGTTTCGAAGCGCGATTCAGGAATCGCTCAAGAAGGAACCGATAAAGGAATCGACCGGTGCTGATCAGGAAGTACAACCAGCACAACTAACTAACGGGAAAGTTGATTCGGTCTACGAAGAAGACCGTTCAACGAGCTCAGTGGAAACTTGCAATCTCGCAACGTCAATTACGGCCGGCGGGAGGGATACAACAAATGTTTTGGTAAACGGCATCGAAGTCGCGAAGGACGACAACGTCAAGGTAGAAAGCGCATCCCGATCCCCTGTAAGTTCTATGTTTCTATTACACGCAAATAAAAGTAACAGCTTGAAATTATTTGCAAGATTACAAGCAATATCAAGCTGACATTGTGATTCTCTAAACATTCAGGTCAGGTTCAGTACACACAAAGATTTTTAAGAAGTCTATCTATAGCATAGTTCAAATTGGGTATTTCATCCACGGAAACGAAGTTCAGTATCTTTTAGAAGGATTTCTATCTATCTTTACTGTATAAAGAAATGTTCATGTATTATGCGTAGGTTGCTTTGTAAGTGTCATTATATAAGTGTCGGGAACCTTCACTTGAATCTTTTTGCAGGAACCTCCAGCAGATACGTCGAATGATAATAAGGGGAATATGGCGAAGCAGGCTTTTGTGGAACGTCTGCTTCCGAGAGACTTACCGATTAAATATCCACAAGTTGCAATTAAGTTGCCTACTTCTCCAACACCGACCAGATCGTCGGCGGCCAACAAATCGCTTACAGCTACGCCTAAAAGATCTGCGATTTCATATAAACGTGATACGAATGTGGCCGGTCGTCTTATAGCACCAGCATCAGGTCCTACGGCTTTTCCACCTAGCCCGACCAGATTCGTTCGAAAAAGTAACCCAGCTCTTTCTTTAATCGTTAACTTAATCCAAAGTCGCTACAAATACGCCTATATTCTTAGAATACATTAACGTCGTAATGATGAAAAGTTTTCATTCAAATGGACGTAATTCGTGTAATGCGTCATGCAGCGTTGCGTTTGTACTTGCTTCTATCCATACCTGGCGCAAAGGCGTTTTACAATGAAAATGAACAATACGTTATAAAAAAAACCCTATGTCCATATTTAATCCCATCGTCATGCTAGATTCAACTCCAGCTGCCAACGGTGCCGACCAACAGATTCGGCCTGCGAGCTCAATCGGTAGCAATTCAGAAACGACTCCTGCGCATGAAACACGAAAGCTTCCTGCGTATACTGGTAATGAGAATAGTCGATACGGATTGCCCGCTGAGGAAAAGGCCAAACTGAAGCAGGAACGCGAAAGAGCTAAACGGGAGAAGGTCAGATGCTGTGGTTGGGTAGTGGTTCAGTACAAAATTTAAGGTTATTTTAGTGATGACCAATAAGTGGGTTCTAATTGAAATTTAATTCCGAACATATATATTGATGAAAAGACATGCATTACTATTTCAGGATGTGAGACAGTGAACCATTTGTCTTTCTATTCTTAAGCATTACATTACGAGCAAATAAAAACAGGTTCTGAATGGAGACCATACGTCGTACGCCATATATTTTAATATCATCCCAAGCTGTTCCAGTCTAGTGCTTTGAAATTTATTTAAAAAACAAAGTAATTTTCTCTGTAGGAGGAGAAAGCCCGTCGTGAAGAGGAAGAAAAGCGCCGCCGGAAACAAGACGCTCAAAAAACGTTTGAGGCTTGGCTCCGGAACAAGAATGCCGAAATAGAAAATAACAAGAAGGCCGCGATTAATTCCACAGCTTCTTGCAGAAAAAAGACGTTGTCACCGCAGCCTCCTCTCCTGAACGAGGTAGACGCCTTCTAACATCTAGTGGATCCTTGACGTTCCTAATTCATTTTATGTAGGCCTATTAGCAATAGGTGCCGCATTGCATTTTAAAACAGGCAACAAGTACATGAGAATCAGCTAATTACATGTGAGCCTGACTGTTACGCCTGACGCTAGATCGTTTAACAGTAGAGATAATTTTGATGCGATTAATTTATGTAGATACGGACAATGTCACAAAATATGTGGATCTATATCTGGTTGTATCAAATGTACACTTTAATCCGTTGCACAATGTACGTGGGGTCATTGACGTATGCAGCAGGAATCTAGGTAGCTTAGAGGCCGATCTTAATGAACTTTATACGATTTATTGCCGTATAATAAACTATGTACCAATTGTTATTTCACTTTAATATTGCTAGCAGAGTCAGAATGAAGCGACTGCAAACTCCAACACAACGGTCACGTTCTTGACGTGGCTTAAAGGCAAAAATATGCAGGAGAAGCAGCGTAAGCTTCAAGAGAAGTTACAACAGATCGAAATCGAAGAATTTAAGAGAAAGCACACCAGGCAAGACGCCCAGCAGGCTTACAAACGGTAAACGAAGGGTTCATTAGCTCATATATCTGGTTTGCTAGCCATCTCTTAGCGTTCGATGGCAACATTTTTTGCTATTAGGCAGAGCCGGACCATGTGTCCTTTCCTAATAACCTTTTCGGTATACTGTTTTGCCCCCTCATTTCGTCGAAGTTTCTTCCGTCCTATAATACATTCAGCTGGATATTATGATACAGTAAAATAGTAGTAATAAAAGTTAAAGATAAAAATATTAATTACTAATAAATAATTCAATTACTTTAGGTTGCAGTGATTGCCGCAAGACGAATGATTTATCTTTACTTTGATGAGACCTTTTTTTTTTTTTTTTTTTTTTATAGAATACTGTATGAGATTCGTTTTCCCTTATTTGCGATTCTTTCGTATACGAGGTGGCTTCTGTGTAGCTGGGTTAAATCACTTCAAACATTGGTTGTCTTCACTTTGTTACAGATGGCTTCGAAAAAAGGCCCTCGAATCAGAGCACCGTCGGATTTCACAACGACATCGAGCGGTAGAGGAGAGACTAAGTTCTTCGCCCTCAAAGTCCAAAGAAGTTTTGGATCGATTTTTCGAATCGGAGCATTTCGCTTCACTGAACCGTAAACAACAAGATAACTTAATTCAACGTAATTCAAAGTTTACTGTTCTGAACGGCAACGCGTAGCAGTTAACGCGGTGGATACAGTCGACTAGGGAGAATTCAGTACGTTGGAGTATACGGAACGGGGTTCCCGCAAACTTGATTTCCATTGTGATACAGTAAAGAGCTACCATATTACTATTATATCAATGTCACAGGTTGCTTTTCGTGAAGCCCCGTTTAAAATTGTGGACGTATTAAGCTATGCATTCCAATGCAAAGATGCAGCAGGGATGTCACCGAAAAAGACAGAGAACTTCCCGTAATCACAAGTGATTTTATCGCTGAGTGAAATATGTCAGGCCTCTACATATTTTCAGCAGTGCTATTCAAGTGCACTCCTTTAATTCAAGTCAGGCTGTGGGTGGGCTTACTTTTGTGGTGGACAACTTTCTTTTATGGGTAAAGTTACTTTGTACTGCCAAAACTCAATGGCAAACTGGGGAGATTTTGTAATTTTCACATCATATGTCCGAGGTGGTTCGATGTGACAGTGATGATTTCGATAAGACCAACATTGTTAGCCTATAAGAGTTAGTTGCTCAAAATGAGCTTATTAGTTGTCGTTATACGACACATTACCTGTTGATCCACTATTGCATCATTATAAATATATCAAAGACTTGAAAGACAATTTGGTGATTTTTCTAGATGGTGATCTAGTAACTTACTATGATTATGAGCACTGACCGTTGCTAGCCGTTGTTTTTTTCATTGGCCCAAAAAAGCCTCGCAAGTCACCAATTGTAAATGTAACTTTATATAGAACTCTCTTCCAGCGTTAATGCGGTGATCCTTATTGAGGCGTCGAGTTAGACAGACGATCGTAGTGCCTTAGTAAACACTCTTTTTGGCACTATTTTGTCTACACAATCTGTGAAAATGGCTGAAGATGTTGGAGCGAGAAAAGATAATAAATGCATATGTGGAAATGCTTAATAGAACACTGTTGCATTTACGACTGTACAGGCCGTGACGTTTTTCTGTAAAAATAGCATCTAAATAAATAAAGTTGTTGTGTATATTATATTCTAACTTCATGTGCTCATTAAAAGATCTTGACGTGGTAGTAAAACATATGTTATGATTGAATCTCATCTACAGTAAGGTAAACTGATCATGAAAATATACTTGTAGTTTTCAAACATTTACGCATTTTTCGACATTACGTAGAACCCGACTTGAACAGTTAAGGAAATAGGCTGTCACGTTTGTTGTGGACTCTCTTCATGAACTTATATTATTAATAGACAATAATGAAACTCAGTCCTGGAGGACAAAGTCTTCAGTCTTGAGGTTTTTCAATTTGCGTGTTCGTAGGAAATTTTGTTTTTTGCAAATCCATGGTGACTTACTGTGTTCAAACGTGGCGTGTTCATCTTAAACCAACAATAACGCACTATGTATTAAAGGTCAAGATGCCGCTCTGTTTAGTACTTGAAGCATTGGCAATTAACGCATTTCTCTATATCTCATTATAACAAGATTTAGTTAACTAATAATACAGGAATTTGATGTTTGGCGACGCATGTGTCCAATCGCGAAATCCTACTATATAATTCGTGTGCTAGTTAACAAACAGTGAGAATATACGACGGCGATCTAATAATATAATACTTGAATTCGGTAAGGTATTGATAATAGAGCTGGCCACCGAATAGCGTGAAGGCCTACACTAGAAAGGTTTAGCCTCGTTTATAATCTTTAGGCTACAAATAGTGGGGTATTATAGTTAACTTCTATGCAGGATTATATATATCTTCGGGATGTACACTTATATTGGGATATATTTTGGTGGGCTGCCTGTCGCATCGGGCATGCATTAATCCGCTATATTTAGCGGGATACCCAGGCCATTTTACCAAGTAAACACAAACTATTTATTATAGCAAATGCAGAAAGCGCGTCAACTGTCATCCATTCACAAATTTCCTTACGTGCTTAAGGTCATGGCATAAAAAGCCATTCTAAATAATTCCAAAATTATTGGAGCAAAGGTTTTCTAAGGGCTAACTAAATCGTCTAGACACACTCCAAAATTTAAACTTATGGCCTGAAAATGTAAATCCGCTGGATACTTTTTGTGTTTTGCAAGCTCACCTAACATTTTAATAAATCTACAGGTCCTATTATTATCCCTTTACTTAGAATCGGTATCGAGAGGTACATAACAGCGATTTGGGCCCAAGCCATGAGAAAATTGTATTTTTAGTCTAGTGAAAACTAGGTTTCCGGTAAAATTATGAATGGCTAATCACACGTACGTGCCTATAGATAGACTTTACGGAAGTACACAAATATATAAGTAGATAGATCGCGGAGATTCACTCGCAATTCCGTTACTAGCTGCATTTAATGGCGACATGGATCGAGCTCAGAAAACAAGCTAAAACAAATATAACAACCTGCATAGCTGGCTGTGGAGCGAGTTTGTTCATCGAGTAGCTTATTAGAGGCGCGTTCAGACACAGACGACCAGGATGCCCTTGAAACAGGTGCCGCGGAGCTCGAAATTCTCGCCACCTGTTTCTTCTCACAATATCACTAGGGCTATTCTTAACCACTTTCTTCCCTCCGATCTGTCACGATTGGACTGTGTCCAGCAAGCCTGTTTTACAATTGAAATCCGTGTCTACACTATCCCTTGTGAGGGCTGGCCTTTGGATTAGTTATTAAGGCAAGAGATCCAGCTATTTAGGCCCGTCATAAGCGAAATCGTTTTTCGACACTTCACCTACATAAGCGCCACTCAAGGCCTAGCTAAGAGTTATCCGCAAAAAGCAGCTTCTAGCTTGTAGGAATATTCTGCAAGTACACATCGTGTGTAAGAGGCATGATCTAGGAAGTTATTGATCATCTATTTCAATACGGTGCCATGGTTACGTCGGTTTAAATCTCAGCATTGACAGAAATTACCACCAAATATCAATAACAATATCAGAGAAATAAGAAATGACGGACAATCAGGAAATTACAGAAAATAACATATTATTTTTAAAGCGGAATAGCAATGTTGTTTCGTAGGTCGATCAGAAAAACCTCACATGAGGCCCACTCCAGTTGAACTCCTAATGGAAGTAAGTCTTTAATGCTATGCCTAAGAAAAAGTGACTTCAAGTTAAAATTACTGGTAGCGCTAGATGAAAAAGAAAAGTCATTCAGGCCATTGCGGTGCTTCCACTGCTGGCGCGACCAGCAGGACTCCAGGTATGATAAACGGAGTAGGCTCGGGTTCGCTACTGGAGACGACGGTGACTCACTGGCCAGAACGGGCTCGGCAGACGTCCGCGCGCGTTTCGTATCGCCGATGATAACACTTAACATTAATGGACCCTGCGGAAATGCATTTGTTGTGGTCTTGAATAAGGTATTAACGAATGTAGTGGAGGGGTTTCGCGTGGATATACAAAGGCAACTTTCTTTTGAGTTTTAGATACCTTTTTGAATCAGTGGGGGCATTTTGGTACCTCGAAGCAGCACTCTCAAGTGGTAAGTTTCACCTTTATATAATTATATGCTGCTGCTTTGGAGACTGGATGGGGACTAATCTGCATGAAACTCCGGAAAGCTTCGTTATAGAAATGAGTAACACATGTGTTAAATGCTAATCACGAGCCTGCATGATTAGCCCAGCGAAATAAAAGAGTACATCTTACTGGCAAGAGTAGCCGTGTGCCCACAAAGTTTTCGAGATTAGTGCCGACGGCAAAGGAAAAGCTCTCTGTTTTGATTCTATTAGCGTCTTCAGAGTAGTCGTTGAAATAGGATGAATATGAGAGCGGTTGTCCTATATGGCTCCTAAGCAATCTGTCAACCCATCCTTTCGCGTAGCCAGACGAATTTACGATAACTACTGACAGTTTACTTATAGTCCAAGGCATAGTGCGACATCGTTGAATCTTCGTTCGTCATATGCGTCAAACCCTTGGGTTTGGCCAAATCGGCGCCGGAAGACGGAGGATGGGAGATCGGAATGTGTGTCTTGCGAGAGGTCGATGGCGGCGCTCGGGTGCTCGTGGGTGATTCCAATATCATCCACGATACTGCACTGCCAGTATCATCGGCTATGTACTGTCGTTAGCAGAAAAGCCACACCCTATAGACGTGCCACATACTAAGGGCTCCCATTGACCGCGAAGTAGGTCATACGCAGACGTATGCTGCGAACATAGCCCGCTAAAGCGGCTATTTGCAGATATGCAAGCAGCCAGTATTATAACCCCTAATAAATCAAAGTAAACCATTCGTAAGTTTCATGTTAGTACAATTTTATATAAGAGTTTTTAACAAAATTCTTATATTATATATAATCAGCTTATCAATATATAAATGAAAACTACGCATTTATGGTCGTCGCTTGTCTTGAGAAAGCTTTATTCACATCTTTGCTCATGTCACCTGTTCCGTCAATTTCTTTGTTAACGTTTATTATATCGTTATTGTACTTTAATCAATATCCGCATTAAAATGAGACAATAATTTCTTGGCTGCCGCCCCTCCTAGTTTCTTCCGCGCGATCATCGTTGAGTCGCAAAATCGTCGGTCTTCTTCAATAAATATCTATTTCTCCTTATCACTATTATAATTTATTTTTCTTCCTTTACTGAAGTGAGCCTTCCTTTGCTGTCTTCGGATTCCTTGACATCGTCACAGCTCTGTCTCCGTCGCAATATTTCGCCGCACTAATGCTCCTCATATTTTTTATCATTATTTTAATCGTTATTAGTATAGTCATCGTTGGTCCACGTTCACTTAACTCCTCGTATTCCTCCTGCAGCTTTCGATATTGGAGCAGGATTCTCCATGTTGGCTCATTCAAAAACGTGCAAGTTACACGATGATCCGGTGCACGTCGTAATTCAAGCTCAACATCTTACAACAAGATTTTTGTATAATTACTACTTCGGTGTTCAGTGTATCTGCCAGTGTCATTGTTATTATACAAGGTTCGATTATAGGTTATATTAAGCGGTAATGCACGTTTGGTTAAGAAGTTACCCAGGATCCTCTTCATAATTGTTGTCATGTTTTATGCGTTTCGTATTTATATTTCCGCTGTATAGCAGGAGGTAAGAGGATTTTATAATTCATTGTTGTTCCTACGTATATATATATATATATTTGGGAATACTCAGGAGATATATGTAGCGGCCTGCGCCTTTGGCTAAGTGTATGTACTGACTAATGAAATAGAGATTCGATTGGTGGGGAACCCGGGGTGATTGATATCGTGCGGATGGGCCAGTGCATGCTTTGCTTCGTTGTGAAGGTTTTTTTCCACGTGCACCGTGTATCAATTTCCGTTATCAACCCTCTGAATTATAGCCCTCTTCTATTATAGATTTGTGTTTCTTTCAGCATAACTCAAGATGTTTATTCACATACATATTTCTACATACTACATGCAAACCTCCAAACATTTATATATATATTAGATACAAAGACTTCACATAATTCTATGATTCGACCGCTGTCGTATAAAAAAAATCCGTACGTTTCGTTTTTGATATAGGGGCGGCCGCTAGCTTCAAATGTGTATGAAATATCATTGGTCTAATTTCTATCGAATTTCTATTAGATCTAATATCTAACGATAGTTTGGGTCCATCCGTACACAGTTTTAACCTGATTTTTCTGCCATCTTGGTTGTTATGACAACTTATAAGCCACTATATCCTTATCGATTATTAGCCAAAGAGTACAGGAAAATACAGTATAAAGCAATTTGATGCGAATAGAGAGCCGCCAGAAACCTTTGCCCTTGAGTAGATACTTATAGTGCATATAACATGATAATATTACCTAGCAGAAAGAGTGTTACCTATCGCAGGTTACGCATGTTTACTAAGCTACGCTTGTGTTTATTCGGCTCATCCCGTAATATCTCTGGGTAGCTGACAGCGTCACCTTTTGTTGAATCATTTAACAGCTGCACGAGGAACTCAGTGCACGATGTTCTTCTTCATTCCCCTTTTTTGGTTCGTTTTGCATATTTTAATGTATATTAGCTATATGCATCCATCATCGCTTTTCGGGTCCGTTATGCTTGTCTCACTTTCAGGGTGTCACAATTAAAGCGATTCTACACCGAGTACCTCCCTGTCATGAATGACCTCATGAGCAAATATGAATGAAACAGAGGACGTTAGAAAATTTTATGACGAGTTTATTCAAAACGGATGAGTCTGAAATTTGAAATTTCCTAAGCCCAGAAGAAAAATTATAGGAAAATTATTGCTGATACTCAGCAGGAAGTTTTTACCTAAGGTTAGCTGGTAAACGAGCCTAAGTGGTTTCTACGCGGGAGATATATCGAGGTGATGCTAGATACAGTGCCAGCTTATAGGTATCCAAATACATATGACATGAGAAGTATTAATTAGTAGTCAAGGAACCGGTCCAATGTTGCAATCAACGTATAAAGAGCATTGACAAGGAAAACTGAGTTCCGTTATTATTGACTTTACTACAAGTTCGCCTATAAATTGATAAATGTGCCTTCGGAAGCTCTTAAAGAATGACGGCTTACGATCCTAATTAAACCTACATAATTTCCGCGTTGGCATATGGCGCTAGGAAAGTTTTCCTTTGACTCCAGCTTTATTATATTAAAGATTGACTTCAACATCCCGCACAGGATTTTACCACACCTGTCGAATGAGATGTACCTGAATATGCATGCTCGAACACGGGCCCTGGCTTCTAAGCTGAAACCAGTTTCCTGCTTCCATATCTGTAAAGAAAAACTCCTAAAGTCCACTCGATTGGTTAAGTGTGAATAGTTTTTGTTGCGTTGATGGAGCTATGAGTGAGTTCCTCACCTGGGTTTCACGAATATCACAGCTACCTTGTTTTTTCAACTTTCCTCAGATAAAGTGTATGCCATTTATAAATAAATTATTGCTATGCATTTTCGTATCACTGCGACAACCTGTATTACATACATATTTAATAATAGTATACCTGTAGTAATAAATTGGTCCCATTTCACCAGCAGGTCCCTCTTTGTCTTTTGACACTTCTATTGGCGATTATGCTTCATATATACGGTGACAAATATAATTATTATATGTTTGCATTATTTTCACTTGCTTTGGAACTAATGGATAACGTTTTTCCCTACCCTAGATCAACGGCCGAATTTACAATAACCTTACATACTGCTGTTGAGATATCATAGTCACTCACAATGTCTAGATAAACCCTGTTCTGCACGTCCATTGGCTTCCAGAAAGAGTTTGTAATTATAATACTAAAACATCGCAAGTTCGATCGAACCACAGCATATATGCCCCATGGACAGCTTTTTCACAGGTTTCAGATTCGTACTCGAAGAAAAGTATGGGGCTCTTTTTTTCCGGTTCGTCAACGCGAGTTCTTCAAAACATTTCCTTTCGCAATCTATGTACCTATAGCCTTTCCTTTTGCCTTACCGAAGTGGTACGGTCGCTTATAACAATTCAAGATAGCAGTAATTAAATTAGTCTACAGGAAAAGTTCAGCTGCAATTATATTCTCACAGCTAATCCGCACTGTAGATGATAATTTTTTTCGTCAGCTTACATTCGTATCAACCGAACTAAAATGCCCTACGGTCGGGGGAAATTGGCCAAAATTTCACTGGCGAAAAACGTGCTCATGCCACTCTGTATTGACTGGCTATACATACGTTTCGTTCTACTAAGCTTAGAGGTTTTCTTATTTCTTTTCTCGGAAATGTCCACTATTCAGTGTTTTCACATCATCTGTTCGTTTGCTCACCCATAATACTTCAGTGCATCCAGTTTGTCGTCAACAATATTAGAGGCTGTTATAGACGATTTTGTCCTAATGTTTCAGACACGTCTTTTTAAGAGCATCCAGCATCACGTGCCAGTGTGACTATAGGAATGTTTAACGTACAATAATCGTTTACCATACGCTATATAGCTCTTGTCCTTCATTTTCTCTTCCTGTTGTCATCATTTTGTTCGTAGAAATTTCTTACAGCAATGCTATGGCGGCAACGTTTCCATCGTTACTTGCCTAAATAGTAACGTCATAATATAATCAATGTTATTATTATTTCAAACGGTGGGTGCAACGAGAGGGAGTGGCACTCACAAGCGACAAGCCAACCTCACAGAAGGATTCGTACTACAGTCAATCTTCACTACGAATTGTAATGCGAAAAGATCATACACCTATCGGAGGCCCGAAGCTCGTCAAAGCTATCCACATTTCATAGCTAATTATAGATGCCTCTGACAACTGACCAGCAAGGTAACCGGCGGAACCTCTTCAACAAGGGGTATCCGATCCTTTATTTCTCCCTATTGGCGACTGGTCTTAATCTTCAGAATTCAGATACCATATAATACAATATCGAAATCAAGTCCTTATTTTTCTTCGTAACATCGTTTTCGACGGATGTAAGTATCGTCTCTTTTCACAGTATGATAATCTTTACTGTGTACCTAGATGTCTTCCACATCCTCTTTGCCGCAATCTTCAATCTCGTAAACTATTTAGTGGTATTGCAAAAGTTGGCTGTGCTTTCAAGTGAATCAAGATTAGTTTATTATATGTTGTTCTGTTGTCGATGTATGCACGGATCTTTATGGTTAAGGCAGAACATTACATACATATACACATATGTAGATTAGGGGGATGTGTTTATATATATTAGCAGACATCAAAAATGGCACACTCAAAAGCCGGACGATGAGTCAATGTATGGATGAGCACCATACTCGTCCAGGCAGATCTGCGAATTAGGCCCTGTCAATGATTATTGATATTCCATTCGATTATTTCACTCCAATTAATCAACGTATATTCATCATCACTGTCTCAAGCTCTGATGACGATGACAGTCGATATCAAACGCTTTTTCCTGTGGCGCCAATCGCTTAAAAAATCCAAGAATTATGCTTACGGCAAAGTGCGACTCATTCAAGTTAGATCCAAATCTAGTGTTTTTTTTTACCCATAATAACACGCTTCCTCTAGCATGCCGTATTGCGCTTATCAGTAAACGGTACGTGTGTATCTCGTTTGTCCGTTAAAAGGCCGCTGCAGGTATTCGACTAGACACAGAAAGAGCTGCAGCTAGTAAATGCGAGCATTGCCAGCTATGTATACACATCCTGAGTTTCGCAGAATCTCTATAAGTTCCTTCGAAAATCAACGATACGCCTTAATTTGTAAGTTATTGTTATCTCTAATACGATTAGTTGGTACAAGTTTCTAGGATCAAAGCACATTTTTTAATGATGACTCAACTGCTAGTAAGCCTGCATTACACATAAATAAATCACTTGTTTATCGAAGGGTCGGTCCGGTCTGTCGATCAACCTCGGGCGCACCAATTTTTTTTCCACCTGCAACAGGTGATTTAACCAAATGAACAGAGGGTTCAGATTGTCAAATCCGGGGAATGAAGAATAAATGAAAGGTTTGACCATTTGTACTTTCTGCGATTACCTTTCTCATTTTCATTTAATCAATTGAGGCGTTACTGCTCCCGCGTTTTGTTGTTGACAGTTAATTGAATATCCTTCGTTGTCATTGTTGAAGAAGTGCTAGCTATGGAAATAGTTCTAACCTCTTCATCTATTCAAAATGGCAGCCCTTATTCTCGTTGTTGTTGACGTTCTGGTTATGATTATGATCGTAGCTCTGAATCCTTCATACGAGCCGCCTCTTAGAACAGGCCGCAGTCCTTAAGATTGTTCTTAATGATAACGTCCGTTACAGCGTCAAATACAAACTGGATATTCGATGTGTCCGTCGCACACGTAAAATGCGTGTACACCTAAAACACACGAAGGAGGACAATACAGAAAACCGCAAAATCACGTTTATACAATATGACTGCTTAATAGCATTGACATGTTGCCGACATCTGGTGCATGAAATCTAGTCCTCATTGACATCAACCTCGCGCATTTTCATCAGAAGTAAGCCGACTCAACCTTCTAACGGGCTAAGTCTGGATAAAATTATTATTGATAAAACTTTATACGGTGTTTTGATTTTCTTGTTACCTATTTTCACGAGACAGCTTTCAACAACCTTAGAATGTAACTTCGAAACAAGCTCTATTCATATCGACAAGTCTGGGTTGGTCATTGCTCAAACCCAAAACGTGGAAAACGTCTATTGGCCAATCGTAGTATCTGGTCCTCTAAGAGTAATTGAACTATTAGATTTGTTCTGTCCCGACAACGCCCGATGCGCTTACACATGCCACAATGTATCTTACTCTACTACATATTGCATATAATTCAAATAACTAATTATTTATTTAATGAAATGCTCCTACAAGGGTCTATGTTTTAGTACTAGCACTGTCAATATAGTTATTTAGCTATGTATGTCTGATAATTAGGCCTCGGTCAAATAATTAATCACAAATAATGTGCAGGTAAACTGGCTGTATACAAACAGATAACTTAAATTCTGTTGCAATATAGGTTTTGTCAACTTGTAGTTAGATCAATTGCTAGATACCTCTTTGGTGTCCTGTCGCTTATTGAGCCGTTCGAAATGCATCTGGATGTAGGCGGCAGCTTCATCGTACTGATTCGCTCCCGTGTACTCGGGAAAGCAAATCGTGAGTGGAGAACGAGTGATTTTTTCCTCGAAGAGATCCTTCTTGTTCAGGAACAGGATGATTGAGGTGTGTGTAAACCATTTGTTGTTACAAATTGAATCGAACAGTCGCATTGATTCGACCATGCGGTTCATTTGGTCATCCTCGGCAAGAACCAAGTCATACCCTGCGCAATCGGACAGGGACAGAAGAGACTATGGAGTTACGCCACTTTCAAGACAAATGGAAAGGAAGGTGAACAAAAACGTCGCACTTTTGCAAATACTATGCTAGAAAAAACTGTTGAGACCGTTAGGGGAATACACTCGTTCAACCTGAGCCTTACCGCCCAAATTAAAGTATGTATTTTATATTTAAGGACGCCTTGTTTCGCAATGTGAAATTTCTTGGGAACAAAACACTCCATATACGATAATTCATATATATGACTTTTTGCGTATAAGCTCCGGCCATTATTAACGAACTGGCTAGCGTTATGAGCTGATCTGCTATGGTATTTGCAATCGATAAAGCGGAAATAATAACTGATCTGATCCGATCAGATAGTAGCACGCATCGCTGAAAGAGTAGCAAAAAATTTATCCTTGTCTACTCAGATTGCCTGCTGCGATGTGCCTAGTATTTGTGCTTGTACTTTCATAAAAAATGAATAAAGACTAACAAATGGACCGGAACGTAACCGAGTTCTTAGATTCAACAAAAAAAGATGATTGCTGCTTTCTACTAACTAATAACACATATCGCAAAAAATAACCTAAAAAAAAATAGTAATATTAATGAGAAAGTATCATCATGATTCCGTTTCTATTTACACACCACGATTTGAATTCGGGGCGTTTGACTTCTCATAATACGTATAGCAATATATCTAGTTAATTCTGTGTGACCTAAACAGTGACGAACAGCTCAAGCGAATATTTAGATATTACTCTAACCGTAGACTATCAAGATGTCAGAGTAAGCAAAGAGCACTTCTGAACAAGTAGATACATATAGGAGTTTGTAATATTTGCAATACGTATACTGAGTAGTAGTAGCGTCACTTGTTTTCGCCAGTTTTGTTTCAGGACAATCTGTTGATTTGACCTGGAATTTACTAAATTTTTTGAGCTATACGTCGAACACTTGCTTAGTGAACTGCTACCTTTAAAGGCTGGCTTCCAGTACCAAAAAAACTGCGTACGCTCAATTTCCATCGTAAGCCCTTTGACGGATTCCTATATAGTGTACCTACACTAGCACTATATAAGTATATAGTATAGTATAGTAGTAGTAAGTATATAAAGTGCTACCTACTTCTATACAACTGGTCCTAAAGTTACCTGATAGAGCCACGCAAAAGATAATGGCAGTAACCCCCTCGAAACAGTGGATCCATTTCTTGCGCTCAGAGCGTTGGCCGCCGACGTCAAACATCTTGAAGTGAAGCCCTTTGAAAACGAAATGCGTCTCTACGATTCCCGTTGTTTTGACGCGCGTTCGCAGGACATCTTGCTGGGTCGGGATATAGTTGCGCTGTAATAACGATAAACCGAAGACAGACGATATTGTAACACTTCTGCAAAGCAGGACAAAATTTTTGTGAGCCTTCCGCCGTTCAATCCAGAAAAGACCCTTAGTCACAGAAAAACAAGAAAGAATGTTGGTGGCGGCATGCTGGACTTCATTGAAGATTTATATCGGACTGCTTAATTCACTCATTAGTATTATGCTTTTAGGTGATAAAAAAATTCACAAAAGCATCAAAAGTAAGATTCTTTGTCATTTTACATATTTTCTTTTGTGCATTCTATATCAGTACATTTTCATATCTCACTATAGAACTTTGACCAAAATCGATATATAATAAATTACTATCATCATACATGATTTCGCGATTTGTATCGGTTGTCGCATCGTGTACTTGAAGCGTTTCAATTTGACTCTCTTGCCGCGTCTTACCTCGCTTTGTTTGCATAGTCTTTTATTGGCATCTAGCATGAGCGAGTCGCGACTACACACAATTAGGTGCACTGGACTTCAGTCTCTCTTTATCAAACTGTCGACAAAGGGTTTCAATCGGGTTACCTTGGTACGCGCAAGGATCGACCATGTAAGCAGATAGATTTTCCGCGCATGCGCAGTTATAGCATAATGGTGGACAGTATTTAACAGTAAATCCATTCAAGCATACATAACGCACGCCAGACAGTCGTTGATCAGGGTAATCTTTGCACCGCTATGTGTGTGTTAGATGATACGTCTGCGCAAACACTCTACTTCGACCTGGTATTAATAATTGCGTCATAAATAAAGAAGAATAAAACGTCTCAGGCAAATTTCAAGAGCAGTGGGCATTTTCTCGCACGCCTTAAACAACATTCGGTTATCTTTTTAAATGATCTGTTCGTTTCGGCTAACTTTGTTTGAAAAGAATAACTTATACTAAGAAAGCTATTCTACTTCGAATGCCTCGCCCAGTTTAGGGCTAATGATGCCTTTACTCAGTTCTATTTAATATAAGTTATGAGAAAGCTTCTCTAACTCTATCCAAGCTTCCACATTACCCTACGTGGCGTGCAATACTATAAAACTTACTCCATAACAAAAGGTACTGAGTTGACTATTTCTTATATAGCTAGTCGATATATATACGTGTCTTCACTGAGTTGACAGAACACGTTCCTCATATTTATATCTCATGTCCCACAGTAAAAGAGTCTGTTAAGTAAACACGAGACGAAGCAACACCGTGTAAAAGGTTCTTCGAAATGAAAACCGAAATCATAACCGTCAACAGGCGCAACCTGTCCTTTAAGACAAGTGGACTTTATAACAGCTAGCAAGACTAAAAGTTGGCAAGTTCAATGCGACTTGCATGACTTTACAACAGAACGCTTGAATTTATGCTTTATAGCTTAAATGAGATTTAATTACTCGGTCGACAAGTCGTTGGGAAGGTTCATCCTGCCTTTTCCAAGAGGCCAAATAGGCAAAACCGTTGTAATGTTTATCCATATACATGCATTTAAAGTAGCTAGTCGATCTTAGAAGAAACGACGTACCTAAAGTAACTGCGTCTCGTTCTTCTTGTTCTCCTATAATCCTTCCCTCTACGTGTCTTTGCATATTTCTTTAACCTTTCTTTCTAGAACCTTTCTATATTTTTTATTTTTATTTCTCTCTGTAACTCCGCTAGCCAACCGCCATAATAGCAGGCCTGCCGTAAAAGCGAGAGGACTGTCAGACTGAATGGCAGGTTGTCATTGTTACCTGTGAAATGCGTTCGAGTGCGTTCAGATAGTAGGCTGCAGAATCATTGAGTTGGTATTCACGAGATCTTTGAAAGCAGAGCTGGAGTCCTTCGTCTCGCCACAGCCGCTGCATCATAACGCTCAGTTCGGGTCCGATTTCACAGTCGCCCACCATTGGCGCACCTGCGATGCTTGAAAACTGACGGGCGTCGTCCTGCGCCAACCAACACAAAAACGCGATGAGGAAACCAATAGCATACGTCAACTATATGCCACTAATTAATATAACTGCTATTAACAAACACGTGTAGTATTCATTCTAAGTGTACCATAAAATATCACAGTTCGCCCCTCTAAACGTGTTGAGAATTAGGTTAATAACACAACAACTTTCTCAATAGTAGGTTTCTCTAGGTAGAACTCAGATCTGTTGTAGGAAATATCGGCTAGAAGCGAGCAGGAAGGCTCCATCAGCAATATGAGCTCTTCTCTAGAACGTTCATCGAACTGAAATCAGGCGATAAGAACTAAAATAGATATGATAACAAATATAAACTAAATATTTTACGTGGCCTACATCTGTGCGCGGCTAATATTTGAGGTGTAAAAAGGTAATGGTAGGGTGTTATCAATTTGAGGACGAATCCTCGATCATTACTTATCTATAAAACAAAACCATGTGGCCAGGTTAAGTGCTATGTTGTAATTGTGTTCAGTCCTTTGTTTCCCCTAAACAATGCTGTTCAAGCTCAACTAAAAATGTCTATGAATGGTAGTAATAAACGTAAAAATTTTAATCTAAGGTTGATGATGCAATTTTTAGTACCAACGAGCTACAGCTTATGTTAGATTGTTGACAGAACGACGATGAAAGAATATTTGAACGGCAGACTGTGTCGATGTGTTTTTCCTAAGATATTGACGAAGAGAAAGAACTTTAGGCCGTCATAGATAGTGAGACCATAAAATAACCCTTTAGCACGCAGGCACACAGGTGTTATAGCTCATACAAAAAAAAGCTCAATTATTTTAACTCAACTCAGCAGACTCTAAGGGTTTCGTTGCTTCGTTAGTTTAATCTATATGCAAGTACAAAGTAATCGCCTCTTAGGCACGTCGGGCTTTTAGGTGCTGCAGGTTCGAGCTTTTGTAAAGAAAAAAAAATCGGTAAATAATTTGCAGAATTAGAACAAGCAGAAAAACAGACAAATCGGTTTTAATGAAAGAAACTACGAAACCAAAGGTTGACGACGTGGAATATGCAAGGTGAAAAAATAGATCGTGACGCAAGATTGTATATATTACTGACGTACAATTATAACAATGTAGCTGTATATATATAAAATATATCTGAGATACATCCCCGATGTAAAAGAGATTTCTAAGGAATGATCAATAAAAACATCCGATGAATCCGTCGCGTATGGATACGTGACAGATACGGTACAACAATTCTCAAACATATCCGGGCTACGACGAGTTGTTCAGGAAGATATAGGGAGTCCACAATGTATTCGGGATTTAATGGTAGCAAAAATTTTAGATGGCATAGTGCCTCTGATTTTTTTTTATATTTTGAGGACGGTTCTGCTAGTTTCAGAGATCTGTATTATAATTATCAATTGTGAGTCCAGTAAAAAGAACGTACTGTGAGAGTCATTTATTTATTCAATTGATTTACCATCAGGTTAGCTCGTCTCGTTCGAAGACTAAACTTATTGCGTCAGATTACGACTATAAAAATCCTACCTAGTCTGATGTCTCTGTTGACGGCGACGGTGGAGGATTTCAGCTATGAGATCTAACGGCAGCATCGATCGGTCGTTCGCTATCTAAATCGGGCCCCATAAAATTGCACTGCCGCATCTACATTCTGTATCTGAATTACCATCAAAGGACAAAATCGTCATATTATGCTGCTGTGATCATCCATTAAGTGATCGAATGAGCCAGCTGCCTTAACCTACCATAACTGTCCAGATATCTCTTCAGAGACTGCAGAAATTCCAATGGTAATTTCTACTTAGCTAGATCTTCGCTTAACGGTATATGAGAGCAGACGTCAAATGTCACGAAGTACTTAACCAACAGTGGTGGAGTTAAACTGTGAACCCACTTCGATCACTTTATGTTTATTCGTTTAGTATAACACCATCATATGAGTTACCTAGTCCATTGTAGTGTTAGACTGATTTTGAGGTTAAGTACACTCACATCTACGTGATTAAACCGTACATGAGAGCGGGTCCAGCATCATGGACGGCTTCAGAAAAGTAACGACGAGCAGCGGTAAATAAGAACTACTTACTCGCTAACTACTCAGTTGCAATAAGCCGTACATCAGTGTTAAGGTATACCTCGCGTGCGGGGTCCCGGAAGTCGATCCTGAGTTGCGCCATGCCGCGAAGAATGGCAACCAATGACTGGATTGTGTTCGAGTGCACCACTGGACGATAGAGCTTGCACTCCTCGATTGTGTAACCCTGTTCATGGATAATTCTAAAAAAGAAGAGAAAAAGGCGGCATAGGTCAATATGTGAAACTGGGCATGTAACCAGAATCGTACGCCAGTACCGTTCAGCAAAGTCTCCAAACATTACGGCTGCTATTCCTATGCAGTGCCGTGTGCCCAATGGCTTCGCGGCAAAAATGAAAAAAAAAACAGCTACGGGCAAACTAGATTGAGTAGATTCACGTGAGGCGGAGAGAAGCTATTACTTATTTTTCCAGACAAACAGTTCCTATCTAAAATACAGCAGCTTTTTCCTTTAAGGTCTGTTGTTCGGCTGAACAATCGACTAAACGTCTCTGCGCGAGTCAGTTCACCTAAAATGGATTTATATATACCTACCTATTTATGTATACCTATTTTGAACTATCATGAAACTTAATTAGGTTAAATATGTCCTATAGTAAATAACAAGTATCGTGATTCGTCACACAGTCTTACTAATTCTTAATATCCACCAACGAGTTTACCCTTAGCTGTATTATTCAAGAAGAAAGCATATACTTTTACAAATATAAGACACGTCGCACAGTGCCTACCTAAAAAACACCCCCAACCTTATAACCAACAATGTACCCCTTTGAGCTGCTTCAGTAAACAAGTACGCTAAGCTTTGTCCCACATATTTTTGTACTTCCATAACCCATTTGATGACTATGATCTGCAAGACAAAATTTTCAAAACATTTTTTGCACACAGAAATGGATTTCTCCATGTCGTAACTGGCTTTTCCAGTGATGAAAGATGACAATGTTGTTACAAGTCTTTGAACGGTAGTCGAAATCGTCAGGTAACCGTTTCACTACACGATCGTTTATTTGGCAAGCGTTAAGAGAAACAGAGTGCGGCTGAATGAAGGAACTACCTTTACGTGTTCACGTTACGATCTAACAGACGAATAGCATTCGACAGTCGCTTCAGATCACCAGCGACGCATCGCCGTGACTTCCACTGCTGTTATCGCAGTCGTTGTGCTGCCTGCTGTTGTAGCTTCGTCGGCCTAAATACCCAATTCTCTCGATTAGCTCCAGCCGCTTTCGCTGTCCTCAAGCAGGTCTGCTTGATCAGCCATTAGTACCAATTAAGCAAAACCAACGAGCCTCGTTTAACACAAACGCGACCATTTACCGCCCACCCGTCTTTAAGCCGAGAGAAGAACTATTTTAGTTCATGCGACTCGTAGCCCTGTTACAAAATTCGTGGCCATAACGCAACCCCTGTTGCTGACTAAAGCACTTTCTGATTACAGAGGTATTTTGGGGGATATCGAGATCAGGCTGGTATCAAGTAGATCTCAAAGACCACGCTCAATCATGTCAGGGCTGCTTTTGTTGCAATCGCCCGGGACAATGTACAGCTCAATTATGACAGCAAGCCTCGCCGGGGCAGATGATGAAGTCGGTGTCGCGCAAACCTTTTTCATACTTCGCTACCGTAGAAGGACCAGGTGAGAGGCTCGGTCGTAAAAGAAAATGTCAATTCTAGCTTCTGAAAACCTCTGTTCCATATATGATGAGGAAATAAATTGAGTAGACCTGCAAAGTTAATGGCGATAATATGAGGCATGGTATTCGAATTCAGTAACTATAATTACTTATTACGCCCTAAAACATCAACCTTCTATATATGCTAACAACATCCGCAGTTTTCGAATTCGGTCTTCCAGGTGAGCCGTAGGCGGGTACGCTGCTGCTGCCTCGATTCCGGCGTCTGTTTTTATGGTTGCCTTCAATGCACCCAAGCAGATTCAATTGAACACGTCTGATCACTAGTTTCCTTAAGGATTTCGATTGTTCGCGCCACGATCCTATGTCTAAGTGTTCAATAGCCATTCATGGTCAAACTCGCCTATGCTAGCCTCCCCGCCCGCCACTTGAACGTAATAATATGATCCATTGTACATTTACGCAAAAAGCTAATAATAATACCGACTATAGTACTATTACACTGATGATAGACTGTCGAGTATCACCTATCGATCGCTCTGATCTGATTGAGATCTATTTATACTTATAGTATTGCTTGCATCCATATGATCTCAGAGATGCTTTATCGCCTCAGGTTTCCTTATTATTTCAAATGTGGTATTACTGACTGGTCTACAGGCAGCTAAATTATCTTACGTATAGCCTGATACTTCCTATTTCGAACTTCTATAACGTGACGCAAACTGAAGGTAAGCATCGGTACTGCATTCGTCTTATTATTTCAACCAATGGTGGAACTAATAGTTGTCCGCGAGAACGGAGCTTAACGGCAACAGCAAGAAGAACACCGACAGCCCGATACAACTGAGGCAGACGACGATCTAACCCCAGAGACCATTATCACCATCAAAAATAGTCCAGTTGTACTAACTATCATCGCGATGTACTCCCCAAGAGGATTGTAATCTTTCACTTGTGACGGATAGTCGATCAGAAAAGCCTTCTGATGCGCACGTATATTTTGTTTGCTCCGAAGAAACAGCAACAGTGATAAATATGACGGTACCAAAACGCTACAATAATGATAGCAATAATCTTCCATTTAAAGTGACCTTTTTTTTTCCACCTTACCGTCGGTGGTATCGATTTGTCTGATCTCGCTCATCGATTTTGTAACGTATCGTAAACCCCTTTGCTCAATCAGGTCAGTAGAGGTCGCAACCGTCAGTTTCTAGTAGGTCAGCGCCTACGGCGGTGGTTCGAAGTAATGCTTCGAATACTTAATTCGATATTCTTCTATATCTAACCTTGTCACAATACAGCTGCCACCACCTGCTCTATTACAACAACTAATAATAGATCGAAATCGTCACAAACTACATCATTTTTAGAGTCATGACTGCCGCCACCATTATGTTGAAATAGTCATCCTTATCACTGTTACAACTACGGAGCTCGTGGCTATTTAGCGCCGTTGCAGCGGCGGCCGTCGGCAGCAACGTAGTGTGAATATTCGTAAAAGATTTTCGTTTTTCGACGATGTTGATGACGCGCCAACTCGATCAGAACGGCGGTACCGAACAGAGACGGAACGATATGTTCGCTCTAGCAAATACTGTTGTACTCTTTCTTGTTTCTGCGCGAATCTGTTTGTTATTATGCAATGATATTATAAAACCGTTTAACTGTTGCCTTCGAAGAGAGGATGCCTTCAAATATGTCCATAGCATGAGAATTTAACAGCGTTTCAAAGCCATTTTCTCATCTAAGTCAGAAGATATTTTGACTGGGTGATTTATTCGTTATTATCATTAACGGTTTTAATGACTAACTGTAATTTATAGTTGATCAGAAGTGAACTAAACCGAAAAGCCCCGACGGCCCGCGGAAATGAGCAGCATAAGTCGGAGTTCTGAACAACTACCAGAAAGAAAAAAGTGATAAATAATATTTTATTGATAGCACGGACGTCACTATGGCTTTAATTCCCGATATCATTAAAGGAATTGAAGTGTATTATTAAGTATCCAGGCCTGGCTTATGAGATAGGGAAAATCTTAGAACAGAATGCTAATCTCATTTATTATATTAAGGCTATTATCCGAAAAGAAATGTTTATTTTCCAACATTTCACCTATACCCTTTCAAGTGCACATTATATCTAATACATTTTCAGTGCCTGCATAAATTAGTTATGGTGCACAGGACAAATTCGACCAATGTTGAAATCAGTCAGAAGGGCACAATGTTCTTCACTGACGTAGTAACCCTCCTAAGCCTTTTTAACCCTCGAATGAGGTTCAAACAAACGACCCATGTAGATAATAGTGTTCGACCTCTCGCATTCAACTAAGAGTCGCCATAAGCAGCCATACACTGAGTCACCCTGTTCGAGATTTGTGTTTTCCCTGTACAGGTGGACTTCTCGCTCGCGTGCTTTTCCCAAGGCCTCTCCACTAGGCTTCTATCCGAGGACTCCGCATATGCCTGATACCGTTGTTGCGAAATCGGATAGCAGCGCCGGCAATCAGGCGTTTCATCTTTTTGAACTCTATCGTCTCTTTCTACGGCTCAGCACTGGATCCAATTCGCTCGCTGTCTCGCGATCGAGAAAATTTCACCAGATTTAGGATTCTGCTGAATAAGCGGTTGTTACTGAACGGATGCGTGGAGGTATTCACTGATGCGACGGCGCGGGTTGTAGCTAGTTGAGACCATTAGAGCGTTATTCTTGGGACGTCCAGAACTGTACAGCTGCTGTTAGCGTGTCTTTGGATAAACTGGCTGCATCCACAATCTTGGACTTAGGGAAAATCAATGAAGTTATACTATTGGCTTTGCCAATTGGCAAGCTTCTGAAGCATGACTGAGTGCAACTAAAGGCCAAGTAATTCTTAGCAAGAAAAGTCGAAACGATTTCAACATAGGTGTCCGTATTTAATAACTGTTGCGACGGCATAACTGCTACTGCTGCGAACAAAAACCTCTAATGTAGAATTTTTTTCCATATGTAAGACCTTTACACAGCAAACTACTGCAATTAATAAGTGCTAGGAGTGACCGTCTTTATCAATAACGAGGCTTCGTTCTACTGTGCATTTACCTTACTTTGATTAGCTGCATACAGTACACCCCGTCGTGCGCTTCACTGATCCCTTCGTACAAAAAAGGTGTATCTATAGAAGTAATGAAGGCGAATCTGTGCCGGACTCCATTTGAAGTAAGTTGTTACAGGCAAAGACAACGGGTAAATTTCATCTGAAGGATGAAAAACTGCACGGCGACAGTACTCATTCTCTCGTGATCAACTCCAAGCAGTAGAATTTCAACTGCATTGAATGAATAATGATTTTTCACAGCTGTGTGCATCCGATTATTAGGAACAAGCTTGTATTCAGACAACTAAGTGCAACAGCAGATTTCGACAAGATACCAGCTATCAGCTTGGTAAGATTTTAACAGAGGCGCACGATTGTCTTCGTAGAGGCTAAGGTTTGACCACCACTTCGACTCTTCCACCCTTGAGCAATTGGAAGTGATATTCCTGATAAAGTCAGTCAGTCAGTAAACTACACTGATCTTCGGACTAGGTACATTAGCATGGATAAAAATAGTTTGCTTCTGCCAATCATAACCAATTAGGCTACAAACGAGACGATGTTAGAAGTCTCCTCTCAGCAATGGACCATTAAAGCGCACCGAAACATGTAAGAGAAAGATGTTTTTTGGTTGTATAAGAAATTTGATCGCATTTAGTTGAAGAAATGAAGTCGAAACATTTTGCTAAACCTATACCTGCTAAGGTACGTATAGGTCTTTGAAGTTCCACAAAGACTTCAGCTAAGATCATGCTCCCACTGGAGCTATCGTCAATCTGTTGCTTTAGATTCCATTGTGTCGCCTCCGAAGAAATCGCTTATCAATCGAAACTATTACAACATATCACTAATATTGAAGAACTGCGAATCATTATTGCTCTCTTCATCGAAAACTTCCACTGTAAAGGATTCCCCTTCTGCAAAAGACAGAATCGAATTTATTTGTTTTGCATCCTTTTTATTCTATCCGACCACTCCCAAATATCCACATTGAAGCTTTCAAACATAAACCTCAAGTTTTGTACAGCTTACATCGTCCTCGTACTACTACCGGTAAAACTCACTACCAAATGGCCAAGCTTAACGGAGGCGCCCGTTATCGCTCATCTATAAGCGATGTTATAGTAGAGTCGTGCAAATAGCAGATAGGCGCTAGGTGAATTTACTCATCGCCCACACGAATACGAGTGGGCTAACTAACAAACAGCGAGAAAAATAATGATGGTTGTGTATGCTCGTACGCATTACGCCGCCGTCGGCTGCATGATCAAGTCTGTCAAACAGAACATATTCAACGGCCGAAACCATAGTGTCTCATCCTCCCTTTATCCGGTTACCCCACACGCTTGCTTTCCTCCGAAACGGCTATAGTCGCTTTTCGATATCAATCACTAACCAAACATGCAGCTCATGCCGAGCGCGGCTTTGACGCCCAGCCACCGAATCAGCTAGCGGTTGTGGCTAGTTGGTGTGAAGTGTTTCCATACGGGAGGGCTTAACACGAAATCTCTTGCGGCTTGGCTTGAGCCATGAGGCAACACGAACGATTAGCCATCCATCAATTGGTATCAATCAGGAAGCGACGACCAAGCCCTGACTAGCAGCAACGGTCAACAACAAACGATTGACGTTAGGTTCTTCTATTTAGCGTGGGAGCTAAGAGCCTCATTGACTACCCAGCTAGTCATCGGCATCATCACCTACACCTAGCACCGTCCTTACGATCTTTGCAGGCTGTAAATTGTAACACTTACTGATAGATGAATCTTGGATAAAGAGCTTTAAGATAGCTTGAATATGAGGAACTCTCCTAACGCACTAAGAAGAAACGTTTGTAAATGAGAAGAAAATACGTCCCATTGAGCGAAGAGATATGCTGTTTAACTAGTCTTTCTTTATTACTATTATTATGTTTATTATCGATTACAGGACCTTTATCATCGTAAGATACATAGTAGTGCATAGATCGTGGTACAAAATATTCATTGTTTATGATCAATAAATGTTAGCCTGTGGGCTAACATAGTACTTACTTCATTTGCTTTACTATTGTGCTTTTACCCGACTCGCCAGCGCCTGTAAACAAAGCGTAAGTAAGATTTAGGTTATCAAGTATGCATGTACTGTACGAATATCTAAAGGCTTATGTAGATAAGTTATGTTATCCATCCACGTTTTGGTAGTATAGGACTCGTAAGTAAACATAGCGTTACACAAAATACTTATGAGGTACGTGATATCCTCGCCATCTGTAATGAAAGCTTCAACCTGTAATCGAAAAGCATACGTAATTGTTGCCTTTCAATTAATATAAGCTTTGTCATTTTATAAACTCAGAAGTACGTCTGCAGACAAACCACCAAATCGCCTCCAAAAATGTTATGCATCAATGCAGGGTTGATATTGCTTTATTTTTAAAATGAGAAAAGCCCTGTCTTATTTTCTTTCGTTATCAAATTTTGAAAACTCGATCGCGAGACCGCGAATCGCATAATTATCACTGGCCAACTTTTACGCTGCGCAGGACAAATGACTACCAGGTAATATTAGCGTACCCTAAAACAACATTTGCCGACCGCCCTCGCCAAAGTAAATTAGCACATCCAGTAGTTTGTTGATGATAAAATAAACTACTAAATTGCGAGATTTCTTTTTCTACCGACGTCTTTTCGGCCTACCGCTTACCGCCTTTGCTTTTGAAAGAGGGTATACCGCTGCGGAGTCACATCGATATATATAACATATAGTGACTATGAAGGCTGTCAAAAAGGTTGGATTTTTCAAATAGAGAATGCGTGAGAGGGGCTGTCTTTTAAGCCGGTTGGATCGAAATTAAAGACGAAGCAGAACAAAGTCAACGCATTGTTTTGCTTCTTTAACATATGTCGTTCTAACAGCGCTAAGGGCAAATATTTGCACATTACGCAAGCAAATTTTTTACTAATTTAGTTGGATAAAATAGTGGAGTTTTTTTATCTCTCGCATTTATTTATCAAGGAAACTTTTTTTTTATTAATTTCTGTAGTAATCAAAAGCAACATACAAAATTTTGTAAATACAACTCAACACCACAATATGCCAGTATCAGACTTATTTTTTTTTATTTTTATATTTTATTTTATATTTATTTATAAAGAGTCTGCATTATAAAAATTAGGTTGAGCCTATAAAACTAGTTTGAAAAATTTGCCAGGTGTCCTACCATAATGATATCTACCCCACATCAGGAGCACTTACATGTATCGTGGAAATTTAGTAGTACTGCAAAGTCCATGATGTAACGGCAAAGTGAATAACGAAGTGTTTGTTTAGCAAATTCGTCCCTTTCTGTTCGTTATTTCTTATCGCATACGAGGTCCCCACGAACTTCAGTTTTTAACAATGTAAATTTTCGAAGAGTAGCGGCGAATCAATGAGGAGACATGCAAGGCGATTTCGAGTCCCTATATGTAATCCCAATTCTCTTTCGAGGACGAAGCTTTTAACATGATTTAGTTGTTTGAAGTTCTTCAATGTAAGATCTTCGCTTAGTCGATACGTCGTGATCGAAGCTACTTTAAGATTGAACAAGTCGAGAGCGGTTGCGAGAGACAAGCCATGAAGCCATCTGATCGCCCATGCGGCCAACATTGCTTCCCTGCATCCTTCGATGACGTACACAGCAAAACTCCTGCAGTTCGTGGGTAAGAGCAACTCCAAGCACGGTTTTTGGTTTACATAGGGTGAGGCAACCTGACGAGTTACAAGGTGTAAATGGCTGCTGTCTACCTTGCTCTATTGAATTTCACTGCTTCCATTTTAATCAGATTTACGGTCAGCCCGAATTTGTAACTGCCGCATGGAGCCACATGGAGCTTGGAACTTCTTCAACTCCTATATTACTAAAATCTGCATACGAAATGCCTTCGACCGATTTTGTCGGTTCTCGTAGTTGATCAGTGAGGCTTTTCAGTAAAATAGAGATTAGAAGTGGGCCTAGGTTACTTCCCTGAGCCAGGTCGGTTGTCTGTGTGAGCGGTGAGAGTTCAGCTGTTTCATCGTTGATAGTGACTTTTTTCTTGTAGAATCACAGCAAGAAGTTTCGTTCAGTCATAGGGGCACCCATCTTGGTCAGCGTGAGCACAAGCTTGTTCCTGGATGCCAAATCAAAAGCTACCTTAAAGTCGACGAACGCCGCGTAAAGCACACTGCGCGGCGTGACTGGTGCTTTCTTGACGTCCAACACCATGATCCTGCGCGCCGTTTCGTTGGAACATTCTCCACGAAACCCAAGTTACTTTGCTTGTATCGCATGTATGCCTTCTAGTTAGCTGTGTGGTCTTTTAATCAGCAGGCCGGAAAAACACTTCTTTGCTATTCTCCATCATCATGACGGCAGTAGAATCGCCCTTTTTTTGGAGTCACTAATAGGATGACACTTCTCCACTGAGCTGACAGTGCACCGGTATGTAAGCATTTACTACATAGTGCCGTCCAGCAGGGGGCCAGAATGACAGCGCATTTGAAATATGCGTTGCATGCCCTATCTAAACCGCTGACTTTTTTGTTGCGTAGGCTGCCAAGGCCTTGCATTAGTTTCCGCACCATGAAGTCTTGTTGAAGGATATTGAATCATATTGAAACACCCTCTTCGCCACCACGCTGCGGCAAAAAAGGCCACCGCGCATTTTATCATATCTCTTGATACAAACATCTTCAAGAAGTAGCTTATAAGGGACGAGGAGCTAATGGATAAGCTGCCGAATTTCCGGGTGCGTCAACCACTTGTGTAATTGACATTCCACATCGGTGGTCAAATAAGTCTCCAACCGTTCAAAATACTGTTACTTTTGTAATGCACACATCTTTCGTCTAAAAACGAAGTTAAAAGGCAGAACTTAGGCTTCGACTTGAAGGTCTTTTATGCCCTCCGGGCAAGGCTGCAGTTGTAATTAAACAACGCCCTATGCTTCGAGAGAGACGGAACGGTTGTACTACAGACTAGGGAATTTCAACGAGAAAATGCGTATAAGTTTCTGCATTTTTCACTTCAGCGACAGGAAGAACTTCGTGGGTGCCTGCCGGGAGCTTGTTTGCATCCAGATGTCGTGATGAAGCCTAGCATTTGACAGCCCGAGCTCGTGCGGCTTGATCAGTGAAATCTGTTGCCATTGGTTTGTGAGTACGAATGCCTGCGCACTCTAACAACAAATGATTCTCACCCCGAGACTTCACCCTACCCGTAGTTACTTTAGTCGTAAATATATTGATGATACAGAAATTCCTGCATGTCCTAGGAGATACGGTCTCGAAACAGAATTGACTATCCAACAACCAAAGTTTACAAGCATGTCTAAAAGGGTCATAATGCGCCTTGATTTCAACTGGTTGAGGTGGGCATTGAAATCAATGACGAGAGCAGAAACAGAGGCAAAAAGAAAAAAGAGTGCTTCCAGTCTACTGACGAACTTCCACACCAGTGCATACGTTCCGAATCGACCGACCGAACATAGGTTATTACGGGACTTAGTTGCTATTATATATTATTGTAGAAAACGGAGATGCCTCCACTATAGCGGCCTAATCTGTTTCTCTTCATTAGCGGGCTATGCACAAAATAGAAACGCGGTGAGTTCAAAAACCTAACTGCCCAAGTCTGCTATCATAAGCATGTGTATACTGTTAAGGGCTTCCAAGGTAAGAAACATCATAGTTATAATAGTAATAACATAAACAACAGCCCCTTACAGTTCCACTGTATAATCATTAGCGTTTCCTTAAGATTCGGCCTCCCTCTAAGCTCGATGATTGACCTTGGCAGCGGCTGCGGTGACTCACAGTTTGGCGTATAAGGACCAGCGTTTCAGTCGTCAGTTTCAGCGCTGCTAGGACTTGCGTTACAAAGTTCTCGACCATTGGGAAGAAGGTAAAAAACCGTAGTCCGCCTGCTCGGCTTGGCTGTCTTTTCCTAGCTTACCGAGGTGGTTCATCAACGAGAGATTCTTCTGGCGTTTTTTTGAAGCTACTGGAACGTTCGGCTCCGAGAGTCTGGTTGAACTGGCTGGATTTGCTGTTCAGGTTTCCTCATGTTTTTTTTGCGATCTATGTACCTTGCATGAACATCTTCTAGCCTCTGTTTCTCTCTTTTGATAGGATTCTCATGGCTCGAAAAGGCATTATCCTTCTAGCAATTTTCTAGGCAATCTTTCTGGCCACATTACCTTCGACGACCGAGCGCTATAATATAGAAAGTGAAAAAGCTTAAAATGGCACCTTTTATTGACTTCCTTTTTTCGCGATAATATCGTTTTTCGCTATCTGGGTATAAGAGGAAAAAGAAGAGCACATATCTGAATACACTTCTGATCCAGGACGCGATGTTTCTGAATAACTATTTGTTCTTTTCAAACTCTATGCGTGCATGGGAACCAGCCTGTAAAAACGCCGCAACCGGCCCGTCGGTGCTGTTAATATGCTTCTCCGCTTCACGCATGACACTATCGATGTCCGTTTTCGACGCCGCACGGTTAACTGTTGACTTCTTCCCAAGAAGAATCGTTCTCAGGGCGGGGCCGAGAGGCTGCACAACGCTGTCGGTTTTCAGAAATATTTTGCGTTTTACTGTTATTCCCGTCACCGGTCCCTATGTTTTTTATCGTTTTTAAGTTCGATATCTGCTCTTCGTGCACCACTACTCTATAACGTAGGAGCGTCACAGTAGCCAGTTGTTCATTCTCCAGAGCACACATATCCAAACATTTCGTAAACTGTTTTTTGACGATCAGCCTAATATTAACATTGAGCGTACCCCTAGAATGCCACTTGCCTTCTTGGTCGGTTGTCGAATCGGCTTCGTTGCTAGTCTTACAAGGGACCTCTATTATTCCATTGCACTTCGAACAACACAGAAGCATTTCCTTGCATACGCTCCTTGCACCTCGAGCAGACGTTTACACTGCTTAGCCGCGATTTTTTTGGTCGCGATGATGAAGACTAGAAATGCGACTGTTTTGGGGTAGGGGTGCAAACGAAGATTCATCGTTTGTTGCTATTATTCTTTATCAATTCAATGGAACACCTGTGTTTGTTGTCAGTTT